TTTCGGGTGGAGCCGTGCAGACACGGGAGCAAGGACTTCGTATATGCATGCAGGCTGTGTGGCTGCATCTGTGACTTTGAAAAAGCAGCCGAGCAAGAGGATCTGCAATTCACTCAACTCGCCATTGAGAGAGGCTGAGAGAGGTTGCGGGTCCCAATCCGAAACTCAAGCATGTTAGTTTGAAGGAGAGGCGTCCCTTGGGCCGGCTTCCAGTCAGCAACGGCATGAATGCGCGGCTCAAGGCAACTTCCGCCAAATCCTTTCTAGAGTCCGGCTGGGTGCGGCCCTTCAGAAGCAGGTCTGGGCACAGGCAAAGGCAAGTGAACAGGGGATAGACAAACGGGCTTCGGCAACTGCCGGGGTCAAACCATGCACGAGGTTATAAGCCTTCTTTCATGATGGGCAGATCAAAATTTAGTCAGTAGCAGTTCTGCGTACGATATCCTGAATCCCGTACGTAACCTTTCGCAGCCCCGAACAGCCTTAACGTCATTATTCCCTGCTAGACCTTGGCAGGCCTTTACAGCTTGTAAGCGAGGAGCGCAAGATGGCACAAGCAAGCAAGTCTATGCTTCTTGGGTTTGTTGAACAGTATTACGCGAACCAATGCAGGCCGAAGAAACCGTGACTGATGCACACAGACTTCTGCAGCTTTCAAGCACGTGCGACCTTGTTGCAACGATCCGATGTATGTTGCGATAATTCGTGCTGTGCAGAGACGTGTCGCGAAGTCTACTGCATCAGAAAGCGCACTTTGTGTTGCGCACGGCATTTCCCCAACAAAGACCAGACGAACCAAAGACCAGAAAGAGGCTCTCGGCCTGGTTGCGCCCACGGAGCTGCAGAAGAAGGCATCTACTCCACATCTAAACAACCCCCATGATTCAGATTGGAGGAGCTTTTTCGCAGTCGTTTTAGGGTTTCAGTGCTAGCAGTTTGCTGTCTGTGTGTGTGTGTGTGTGTGTGTGTCTCTTACTAGTGCGAGCTCAGCAGGGCCCATCTTTCAGGACGGACGAATCTGGAGTTTTATGGTTGAGACTAGAGTTCACTTTGTCTGGCCTTCAACTCCAGAGTCTGGGCCCGACTCTTCCAACGGACTCCAAGAACCAAAAGGGGCTCCCAAGCTTCTGTGCGTGTGCAGGTTTGCAAACCCATCGTCGAGGGACGCGATGTGATCGGCATCTCGGAGCGAGGCGGCACTTACTGGATTCGGTTCTAGTGTTTGTTTTTGTATCTTGGCATTGCGACCCGTCAGGCAAAGCGCGACTGTTGGCCTACCTGAGCCTTGGCTGTCCATTTCTCGGCGATAGCCGCTGTTGCATGGTTCCGTAATATCTCTTTGGAGGGTGTTGAAACACAGTTGCCAACCCGAAATTCTGCCCCTCGCCCTCACTCTGAGGCTGCTGCCAGCCTCACAAATTCAAGGCCTCAACGTTGGAAAGCAATGTAAGATCAGAAGCTTGAATTCGATAGAAATCCATTTCTCGACACCATGATGTTGAGCAGCAACAAATGCAATAAAGGAACGACCTGACCACATACCGACCGGACAACCAAATCTAGCCTCGCGCCTCGCTCCGTCCTTGCTAAACACTCCCGATCCCCTGAGTGAGACAACTTCAGACCGCCTTGTTTTCGGGCCTTGACTCGAACCCTTCAAACCCCAGCGCTCCACCCATCGGTCCGCACCCTACCCTGCTTGCATTCACGCCAAGACCCAAGACCACAAGGATTCCTCTCCTCGACCGCGCTAAAACAGAGCGGCTACTCGGCGAAGTCAAACTCCCCCGAACCATCTTTGTTTACAGCATTCGGTTCATTTCCGTATCTGGGAGGGGTTTGAACCGTTTCCGACGCGTGAGGTTCAGGGTTTTGTTTGTGTTGGAGCGGAAATGGATGAAGAGGCGGGTTTGGAGATTCGGTTCGGTTTTGCGGGTAGGTTCTGCGGTTCGCGGTTTCCATGTGGGTTTCATATGATCTTATATGGGTGGGCGGGACAGTGGCTACTCGCAAGTTTCGGCCAGACTTCATAAGGAAATCTATTTGATGGTCGCTGCTAGTGTCAGCTGAAATCAGGGACTGCATGCAATTTCGGCAGTTGTACAGGGTTTGGAAGCAGGGCATATTGGGTGTTTGGCATGAAATTCAGGGATACTTGGCTTCAGGTAGTACGGGGCCTTAGGAGTTCGATGCTGTAGTCTTGGGATTGGGTTTTCCCACTAGTTGTCGTAGAATAGTGGAGTGCAACGATGGGTTGAGCGTGCTAAACTTCGGGGTTTGGGACTGTATCCTTGACGGTGTAGGACAGCGACAGCATTGAAACCTGGATTCTGCAGGGCATCCTAAGCTAACGGGATGGTCAGAGTCAGAGCTCTCAGCCTGTCAGCGGGATTTGCGAAGCTCTGGGACTTGAAGCTTTACACTGTAAGCGCCTTCAACTGCAATCCCGGCCTAAACTCCACGCGTCACACCTGCTCTCTCCCAAGCCGTGAACGCAAAGCCGGCAGTATCCGAGCCCATAGCCTTCCTGAAAGCTGAAACCGCAGCAAAAGCGGCAAGAGCAAAACTTGCCCACGTTCTAAATGCAGGTGGGCGCCCAACGAGGCTGCCATCATCGTGGAGCCTAACGGAGTTCTGGCGGAGCCCTGGTTAAGGATGGCTCCGCTTCTCTTTGGTGTTGCTGGCTTTTTCGAGATCTGCGGTCTCGGCGGTGTTTGCTCCTTGTTTGAGCCTGTGTGGGGGAGCTGGACCTTTGTCTTCGGTGTCTACATGTCCGTTTTGGGGCCTGTGGAGGTTCAGATGTTGTGAGTAGGCCAGCGCACCTTGCATGAGACCTCGGACCTCAGTGATGGTACCGCTTTTCCGAGGAGAAAGTTTACGTCTTGGCGAATTCACTTCGCCGCTTGGCAATCCCTGTAGCGCAAGATGAGAGGATTCTTGGCTTGGGTGCCTTCACTGGAGTGCCGTAACTGTCGCCAGGTTTCTCGTTTGAAGCAGCATGCATGGATCGGGGTTGGGCATTCGAGTTCCGAGCCCTGAAAGGGTCGAGGTTTGCGAGTCCATGATCTGTTTTCGACCTGCCTGAAGTCTCTTGGCGGTCGACATTCTTGAACTGGAGCATGCCCAATCATTCTAGTTAGCTTGAGCCCTCCGAGCCCGGGGACCCGAAACTCCAAGCCTTGCGAGGCAAGTGGTCCCTTCGCACGATCCTCCTCCGTGAAGGAGGCGGGAGAGCAGGAGAGCTACCTCAACGCATCCCTGAAATTATGTCCGCTTCAGAAACGACGACTCTAGCCAGCCCTGTCAAACAAAAAAGAAACACAAGCTCACCAGACAGGTTCGAACAGGGCATCTCCGACGCAGAGCATCCAATCGCAGGGAGAACCACCAGCATACCGCAAGCCCACGAACTTCGCCACGGCCCCTTCACCGAAATTCTCGTGACGAGGTGGTGCCGAAGGGCTTGCAGCGCAGCGCGCCGCCCTGCAGCGATTCTGGCTTGGAGGTTCAGGGTCCGTCTGCGAGTCTGGGGCTCGGGGGCCGACGATGGTTTAGGTCCAACCCATCATCCCGGAACCCGAATGACCTTCGCATCAGAAGCCTGGCAATTCCGAAGACCCAAGTCCTACGCCCCATAGCCCGTAGAGTCATAACATAGACGGAAGCTCCTTCTCGAAGTCATACTTCGTTCAAGCCCACGTCATGACAAAACCGAAACGGATTGGGATTCTGCATAACATCCGGAACCTGGATGCACGCAAATTTCTTAACCCAGGCGCTGCTCCGGCGCGGGGCGCACCTCGTCGTGGCTACAGCCTCGCAGCTGCGGGCGCGGCCGTGTTTTCTTTTTGGTGTTATCTTTGTGTTTTTGTTTCTCCGTCGATATCTGGGTGTAGGGTTGGGCTTGATGATCATCCTGCTTTGCCGCTTGATGTGCAAGACTTTGTGGTCGATTTCGGCATCGAGCGCATAGGTTAAGCTTGCTTTGAGATGCTTCAGATTTTTGCCGCACGTTGTGGTTGTACCTTCAGTTCGGTGGCCTAGGTGCAGTTTGTAGTTTTGCCTCCTGGCTTAGCAGGGGACCGCCGGAGCCAAAGAACGACTTCAGCCCAGCCCGATGATGAGATGCCAGCTTACGGCGAAGCCCATGTAAGCTGCAATGGCAACAGCAAGCTTGTTTTGAGGACCAGCCCCGTCTGCACAGCAGCAGCAAGCACCGCCAGGACCTGGCGGACACCCAGGGCCTCGAAGGAACGAAGGCTGGATTCTTGGCTTTTGGGGAGTTTTGAGATTTGGGTTTGGCTTGGTGATTTTCCAAATCAGGGTTGAAGGGTCAAACTTGGTGGCGTGGTGCGGATGGGTGTGGTAGCTTGTCAATTGTTCCCGAGTTCAGAGTGGCCGACATGTGGGGCTGCGATGCAGATAAAAAGCGTGTGTGTGTGTGACTTTGTCTACGAGACTACTGCGAGATGAAGGTCACATGCTGCGCAGAGCTGAAATCTGTGGTGACACAGCAAACTTGTAGGACAATCGTGGTGTTTTGTATGTGGAAAATGGTCCAGGCATTGCTATTTGATAGTTGACGGGAGACAGCAGTTGCCTGGAACTTGCAACGAATGTCTGCAGCTGGGCTGCAAGTTTGAGACCTCATGGTCACATCCCTCGAAGCCCGGCCCCAATCCAATCCAGACCGGAACCCTGAAGCGAATTTTATGCGCCCGGCTCAGCAGGTACGTGCCATTGTCCTGGACGGCGCGCAATCGTGACGCGTCTGCAGCGAAATCGGGACGTTTGGGCCTCGGAGCTTTTTGTAGGGGTGTGGGCCAATCCCCAAAGTCTCATCACTTCAAAACCTGCATGCACATGATGAGCATAGTACCATCACACTCCCTTCTGCAGCTCAAAGCTTGGATCCCCGACGCCTTCACATGAGCCTTCCTACACTGGCCAAAATCTGTCCTCACCCTTTCCAGCCCCAGTTCGGCTGCCAAAGGCTGAAGATGCGACCTCGCAGCAAAGAGCTGCAAGGCCGGGCTTGACCAGAGGTCAGTTGATTGACGGTTGGGGAGTTGGAGAGTGAGTTTCGGGCGAGACTGGTTCTGGGCTCGTGGGCAACAAACTGTAGCTACCACGGCCGCGAGGTGGGAAGAAGTCCTCAAAAAGCTAGGTCAACGGTTGCAGCGGATGATCCTCCAAATGTCTCCAAGCCTCAACCCTCAAAACTTTGAAGCTCCGCAGCTCAGCATCAGAATTTCAAAGTATCAAGCATCGCGGACCAAAGACACCGGCTAGATTTTGCAAAACACTTTCTGCGCACTTTCGATTCGTCACCCCAACTCCAAGCAGGTCCGATAAAAAAGTCCGCCGCAGACCTTCGCTCAAGTTACTCAAGTTGGACCCCCTTGCAGGGATCCTGCGTTCACTGCACAACGGCCAGCTGCAGAGCTTCGGTGGAAAGTGTGACGCGGAGCTGGGGATCATGTCCGGGTTTATGGTGACAAGGTTTTTGTGGAGTTTGAAGAGCTTGAATCCTGCGACTGCGAAGCGGCGGGCGGCCACAGGTCCGAACAGAAACCCCACCGAATCGTGACACCTTCAATAGTTATTCAGCAGCTCAGGACCTTGGTCTTCACTGATGCCTCTCCTCAATGGGTCGAGGCGTGCCCTGCTCGCTGACCTGGGCACGCAAGCTTCGGGTCTGTCAGGGCTGAGAGCGTGCAAGCGCCAAAGTACGGATACCTCATGTGCTTGCCTGTGGTGTTGCCCTTGTTCAGGGCTGAGGCTTTCCATGATGCTATTCTGTAATAGCAAACAGCACACATGCAAGCTTCCTACTCAAAGAGAATCCCTACACCACGAAGTCCGCAAACCCACCGAGGGCTCACACTCCTGAAACTTTCCGAAAGCTTTCGCCATGCAGCTCACGCCTCCGCTGCAGGAGGAGCTTGATGCTTACCTGCGGGAGCCCATCCTGGTCAACTCGCTAGGCACCGCCTTGGGAAGTTGAGGAGGATTCTGGTGCAAATGCTGGGCATCGGAAAGCTTACACATGCCAATCTGCGACCATCAGCTAGACAGGGAGAGGGAGAGGGGGAGGGGGAGCGAACAAACGAGGCTCGCAAACCAAGTGTTCACCATCCTAAGGCTCAGCCCTGTAGGCCCACGGTAAGCCCTGAAGCCCCGACCAAAGCTGTCTTTCAAGCGCGACACACTTCCTACGAGGCAACCGCCCAGCTCTGCCACTCTCAACGAGGCACATGTTCTGTGAGGCCGGGCCGCGACTCCGCGACTCTCGGGTTCGGAACTGGGTCTGAAGGTTTGCTGGAGCTGAGAAGTCAGGGGCTTCGGGGAAGGTTGCTCGGCAAGGCCGCTGTAGGAAGTCCCACCAAGAGCTCTTGCACACGAAGGCCACCGCCTCCAACCCGAAAGTCCTGTAAGATCTGTCCCTTTGCGTCTGATACGCCAAAGATCCTGTGCAGCGTAGGTGCCCGGCAGTGCCACGCGCAGGGCAAGGCATCAGGGGTTTTGGGGCTTCCTTGGAGGTGTAGGTCCCTTGGCGAGCGAGGCTACAAAACGGCTAGCAGGATGTATCACGAGGGGTGAAGCCGGGGTGAGGCACTTCGACTTAAGGATTGTGGGGTTTAAGGGTCCATGCAGATGACGCTGATGGAAACTGCTGCCGAATTTGGTTGGCAGGCTGCTGGCGCACATGCTGGACCAAGACCTGACGGGGGAGACGGAGGAGACCTGCATAAGCTTGATGTTGTATATCAGGTACTGACAGATGAGCTGAAAGAAGCTAGAAGCAGCTAGAAGCAGCTAGACTGCTAGACGTGGTGTTCAGAGCTCAGTAGGGTCCGCGGGGGCTCCCCAGCCCAAAGAGGAGAAGGACTCCAAAGAAGAGACCAAGCCTGCCGAGAAGGCGAGAGGATGAGTGTGCACATCAAAACTTCGGGTTGAAGTGTGAGGCTTGAAGTTGACAGGCGAAATTTGGGGAATTCGGAGGAATTTCTGGAAGCAGAGGCCCGAGGTTTTGAGTTGCAGGTTTTTGTCTTGAAGCTCGGGATAGTTATGCCTGCTGATTTCCAGAGGCTTTCACTTCTTTAGCAAGCCAACTTCTTGAAACTGGCACGAAACCACGCACAAGCTCCTCAAAGTTCGGGCCCAGATCCTGGAGCCATGAAGGCTTAAACCTGGAACTGAAAGGGCCAAACTGCACCAAATCCTTGAAATTAAATCTTGTTATTCGCCCCAAAGAGTCCCAGCATCTGTTCATGGAGGCCTTGATCTTCGTCCCCTCGAAGGCCGAGGCCACGCTACTCTCTGGCCACGCCATGCTGCGCCAGCGCCTTTTGCCTCTTGACCTTCCAGGAGCTTTTTGGGGTCTCGTGCCGTATTCAAGCGCTAGAGGGGTTTGGGGTCCGCGATTGTTTTAGGGATCTCGTTTGGGGATTTAAAGCTTTCCGGTTTGAGGTTCTGGGCTTTGGGCCGGTTTGTGTGCTTGACTTGAGGCTCTTGAAAAAGGCGACTCAATGTGTTTTTGGTCGAGGACATCGATGTAGGTCAGGGTCATGCAGCAATGCTTCCTTAAGGCGTCATGCAGCAGGCATGGAAGCTCGGAAGCCATGAGCCAAATCTTCAGGCTAGAAACAACTGAAACTGCCGTTGCTTTCCGTGAGGTGCCTCCACGAAGGCCTGGCACCTGCGGAGCAGCAGGAGCTTCTTCAGCATGTAAAGGTCGGAGAATGATTGTCCTAGGTTCGCATGTTGGCATTCTGCCTAAAGATACCCCCAAGCAAGGTGCACAAGTCCGAAGGTTCTCCAAAGCCGCTGTGTTTCAAGCGGAGAGCAGTGGCCTTGGAGACCTTGTTGCCAAGAGTTGGCTTCTGTTTTGACAACTCCGATCCCAAGCTTTGTCGAACTGGCCGAAGCTGCCGCGCTGTCGCAGTTTCGATTCTAGATCTCTTGCTTTGCACTACCACGCCTCCTTTCCCGGAACGCCCCCGAACATCAACTCCAACTCTAAACCATGAGAAGTGCTGGTGCTCTGGGCTTGTGAGGAGATCCTTGCGCTCTTCCGGACTTTGCCCAGCCAGATCCTCATCACTACGGACGCTGCCGTAAAGGATCTGGAGCTGCCGGGCGTGCCTTTGGTGGTGCATGTGCCCAAAGCTCAGACTCGTTAACTTATTTCTGGCAATGAGTCTGAGCCAAATCCAACGAGCACTCTCTGCTTCGTGATACAGGATTTCCACTGCCTGAATCTGTCAGTCTCAAATATCGCAGGGAAGGTCGAGGTAGATTTTAAAGATAGTTCCTCACGCGTTTCTAGCTGAGTGCCATGTGAAGCAATGGAGGGGTAGGCCTTAAAGAACATGAAGTTTCACCTTCAAAGCCTGAGCTGTGTATCCTGGATCCAAAAACGACGTGACTTGTGCCTGACAGCAAGGCCCGCAACTCCAATTCCTGAGGGTCCGGAGCCAGAGCCAGAGCCTAAACAGCACTGAACAGTAAAGACTAAAGAGGAAACTAGAGGCACAAAGGCTTGCATCTGCAGGAAGTAGGCAGCCCCCGAAAAGAATTCTCAAGACTGAAGGCCTGCACACTCTGCCCAGGTCTGCCCCGGCAAACTTGGAGGCAAGAGTCCTGTGTCAAAATTCGCTGGGTCGGGGGGTGTAATTGAGACAGAGGCTTCGAATTTGCAGCACCTCAAGCGGCCAGGTTGTGTTGTGTCCGCAGGCCAATCCTAAGCGACTGAGCCGGCCTGCAAAACCCATAAGCCGTGAAAGACTCACAACTTACCAACCCAAACGGACTTCAAAGCTTTCAACCTCAACCCCGCAAATGTACCAAGTAGAAGCTTTGGTACGAATGGTTTGGAATTAGGACGCTCCTTGACCGATATTCGCTAAGGGTAAACATGACCAATTCTGGGTTCCCTCGTCAGATCTACTTGAACCGCATCGGCCGCCTCCAAACAGCGGCCCCGGGAAAGCGCCGCACGCGCCGCGCGGCGGGACCGGCCGGGGTCTCGGGATGTTACACCGATCTAGTATCTATGTATAGACACATAGATTAGTAGATAGATGGATAGATTGACAGATTGGTTGATACAGACAGAGACACAGACACAGACACACAGAGACACAGACACACAGAGACACACACACACACACACACAGAGACACACACACACACACAGACAGACAGACGGACGGGCGGACGGTCGGACAGACAGGATGAGAACGGGCTTTATGCCACAGTGCTGAAAGCTCCAACGCCAAACCGCCAGGATTTCGACATGTTGTTTTTTTACTCTGGACCCCGTTGTGATGATACTGCTGATCCAGCACCTTGCGAGACGGGTTATGCTCCTCAACTTCTTTCGGATAATGAACTTGTTGTGGCAAGGACCTTGAAATGAAACCCCAATCTTTGCCGGCTCATTCATCCGCAGCCGCTCACTTCCCCCTGACATCCTTCCTCAACAACCACTGAACATGTAGTGATTCGGGAGTGAGTGTGAACCTAAAATCGGACGCAGCTCCCTGCAGCAACCCTAAGCTGAAGGCCTGACACCGGGTGCCGAGGCCACGTCTTTGGTGCTCTTGCCCGGGCACCAGAGCGCTCGGCTCCGAGAGCTCGAGCAGCTTGTTGGGAAAACTTGATGCGTCTGCAGCTTCTCGACGAGGAGCTTAGACGTCTTAAAACGGATATTCCTGGATTCTTGGGTGTTGTTTTGAGATCAGTTTGCGAGCGACTTTTGCCGGTGGGGAGGAGTTGCACTGTTTCCCGCAGTAAGAGCGGGGAAGTCTGGAAGATGCTGCGTCGTGAGCTAACGGAACTGGCGGTTGGGACGATCAGAGCTTCCAGAACTTTTCGTTGAACAGCAACTCAGTTTGCAGTAAATTCCAGGACGGGCTGAGGAATGGTCAAGTTCTGCCCAGACGATGTGACTTCTGGTTTGCTTGTTGATATCATGCAAAGTTGTTCGAACATGAATCCGTCGGCAAAGGCCGTCGACCAAAGTTCATGACGCTACGTGCAGAGCCCTGAAACTCTAACTACTAACCCCAAGTTTAACTTCTCTCCTAACATGCAACCATCCCACCCGCAAGACTAGAGCAAGGAAGGACCTTGGGCGGCAATTTGAAGTGCTGCCGCCGCCTTCAGAGGCTTTGCGATCCTAGGGCATACATTCTCCAGCCTTGGCCTTTCGCTCGGGCAATGGCTTGCTTGTATTTCCGAGGGCCGGGGTTGTTTAAGACGTATTGTTCTGCCATTCCTATGGGGTCCCCTCAGCCCCCGAACCTGAAGTTTTTCTATTCGTCACTCGCCAGTGTAGTCCTGCCAGGCAGCGCCAAATAGGACTTGGCTGTCAGGGATGTAAGGGTGCTGTTCCGGGTCTCTACAGGAGGCTGCTTTCGGGAATTCATTCTCTCAGGCGGCACTTCGCCGCAGCGCCGTTGCGGCTGTGGCGAAGGAGACACCTCGAGGGCAATCATATTCGCAAGCGCCCTAGGATGGAAGTAGGTGGCTGGTATCCTGGCCTTGGAAGCAGCCCTTGGCCAGATCGGAGGTTCTGAGGCCAGTCCCAACCTTCTGACCTCGAGTCAGACGCGCTGCCGTTGTGCCATAGCCTCAATGGCACGGTTGCAGCAGATCCCGACAAACAAACTCAGAGACCCCCCCAGAAAATGTGGACGGCCTTGGTACATGGTTTCTTGAGGAAGCGTTCCAGAAGACACCCTGGCAAATTGACACCGAGGGAATTCGAACCCCTGCGGGCAGAGCCCAATGGATTTCGAGTCCATCTCCGTAGCCGCTCGGACACAGTGTCTGTGGTCACACGCGAGTGGCAACCCTTTGTGAAATTTGAAATTCGATTTTGGCCTGCGACTGGCATGGTACTCTGAACATGCAATCTCGCTGAGCGAACTTCTGAGCTTGAGGATAGCAGCCTCATCCCTTGGTGTATGACATTGTGCTCCCATCATGCGATACCGCTGAAAGGCTCGAACTTGCACCTTGTGCGTAACAAGCCTCATCTCTGGGGTCTGGCATGGTCCTCATCTCTGTGGTCTGGCATGGTCCTCTTGCCATGCAAGATCGCTCCCAGTGAGGCTCGAACTCCCGACCTTGAGGTGAACAGCCTCAAGCTCTGACTAACTGAGCTATGGAAGCTATTGAAACAGGTCCAGTCCTGCCCATCATCTGCAGGCCATGCAAAAGTCAAACACACACGCACACACACACAGCAACAACATTTACTCCATCCCTTTTGCCGCTGTAGCATGCTGGTCTTCAATCGTAGTCTCGTGCTTCCAGACAAGCCCGACGCAAGTCGCATATGAGGGCACACCCGGAGTTGAGCCAGGACCTCCTGATGTGCAGTCAGCCGCTCTAACCGCTGAGCTATGTACCCAGGTGACTGTTTGTGTTTACACTCAGTTGACCCAGACCAAGCACACAGACACAGACAGACAGAGAGAGACAGACAGACAGACAGACAGACAGACAGACAGACAGACAGACAGACAGACAGACAGACAGACAGACAGTCAGACAGTCAGACAGTCAGACAGACAGACAGACAGACAGACAGACAGACAGACAGACAGACAGAGACAGACAGAGACAGACAGAGACAGACAGAGACAGACAGAGACAGACAGAGACAGACAGAGACAGACAGAGACAGACAGAGACAGAGACAGACAGAGACAGACAGAGACAGACAGAGACAGACAGAGACAGACAGAGACAGACAGAGACAGACAGAGACAGACAGAGACAGACAGAGACAGACAGACAGAGACAGACAGAGACAGACAGAGACAGACAGACAGACAGACAGACACAGGCACAAACGCATTTAGCGACAGTCGCCAATGCTGCTGCCACTCTCGCAACTGGGCTTCAATGCTTCAGACCAGAAACGGGTGGCTGACGATTGTCAGTGGCGGGCTTCTCCCAGCTCCTATTTCCTACAACGGACAAAGCCAGCTCAGCCTTGCTGCTAGTATTGTCTTGAGTTGTCTGGATCAAATCAACACATGACTGAGCTCAGCTAAAACCCGGCCACCCGGAATCGAACCAGGGACCATCTGATAGCTGCAATGCTCTACAGTCAGATGCTCTACCAACTGAGGTATAGCCGGCTTGCCAGGGTGTCTTCTGGAACGCTTCCTCAAGAAACCATGTACCAAGGCCGTCCACATGTTGGATCCAGCAGCATCTGAACAATTTGCAAAAGAATCTGGCCAACAAGGCATTCAGCACGAACTCCAAACTCCTAAGTTCCAAGAGGAGCTGAAGATGGCTACGAAACAGCACCGACCTTAGCTGTTTGCAGATGCGTGCTTGTACGATTCGCCCCTCGTTTGAGTCAGTTGAGGCCCTTCGGCAAAGCAACACGGGAACGTTAGGTCTTGCTAGCTCCCGGTCCCCAATGTAAAACCTCTCTGAACGTCTGTACGATCGAGATTTCGGACATCCGGGATGCTTGTAAGTATATATTCATTGTTTTATCTATTGGTTTGTTTGATTAATCATGTACAATTTTTGATTAAGATTAAGGTTACAGGGGGTTGTTGAACTTCGGACGTACAAGACAATGGTCCTCCGGAATGAATTCAAGGGTCCCACTCCCCAAGACCCCGAGCCAGTGTCACTTTTGTCAGGAGTTCAGAGCTTGTGATTGAGAGTTTAAGTCGTGAGGTTGTGGAAATCAAGGCTTCAGCGAGGTTTGAAGAGATTTATATGCAACTCACGGCAGTCCATACCCGACCAGCGACCGCCTTGCACAAAGTGATGCTGTGTCGAAACAGTGTCACCCCGGGTCATGGGAGTGTGCACAATAAGAGGTACGACTCTGGAGCTTTCCTCGAAGATGCGAAGCAACAGAGCCTTGGCTTCGCATGTTCGAGGGCAATAGCACGCATGGGAGAATCTCTGTGGTGGTTCTAAGTTTTCGGTCAATGCAGTCGAAGATCATGGTTTGGGGAACAGCGATCGATAGCTGGAATGGTAGCCCCGGGGACCCGGCTGGCTCTGACAATTTCAGACCCCCAAACCCGTATGATTGTCGGAGAGGCGCTTACAAAGCAGGCTGCGCAGATGGTTGTCTGAGCTTCGAATCGTTCGAGGGCTCGGCGATCGAGCAATGTGAAGCACACGCAACCGCATCAGATTACAATGCTAGAGCTTGCGGCAGCACATGCTGACCAAAGATCTAAGCCTGTTGACGTCATAAACCCGAAAGCAACACGCGATTGCACAGCAACAGCAGCCGACCCACCGTCCTACTCAGCTACGAAGCCGGACACCACACACTCGCCTTTTCGGAATCAGGATCTGAAACACTAAAGCCAAGACTGATTGACCAAGGCCTCAACACTCCCAAAGCCCAAAGCCCTCAACACCGAACTCCTCCACTTCAACCTCCGAGCCCTCAACCTCACACCGCAAGTTTGGACATCCTAAAGTCCCTAGTCCCTAAAGTCCCTAAGCCAGACAGAGCTCACGAAGGTTGGAAGTCCATGGACCGCGGCTCCTGGCGGCCGCCCTGGTGCCTCGGCTGGAAGAGAAGCCTCTGGGATGATAAGGTTTTACGGGCTGAGGTCTCTCAACTTCAGTGTTTTTGCAGGTTTGGCTTCAGAGGGTCACGTGGCTCCGACGGATCCCCACAAGCCTGTGCATCCATAATCAACAAACATGTTCGTGCATCGCCTGTGTCTTCAGCACAGTGGATACCAGCAAAAAATGACCGAATGCCCAACTTAGCTCGCACACAGTCGAGGGTCCGAGGCGGCGTGTTCTCACCACGATGTCATCAGGTTTGTGTGCGGTTCGTGTATCGCAGCCCAATGCTGAGAGCACAAGCCCTAAAGCCGAGGACCTGACCTAAAGTATTGTCTGGCTTCGCTCCTCAACAGCCTCGCTTTGTGCACACCCCATCATAATTTTGCAGGTTCTGCTAGAGCGGCGCCGGAGGGGGGAGGAGTGGCGTTCGCCATTCTCGGGTCGTCCCAGGCGACTCTCTGAGACTTGAAGCTGACGGTCTGAGGGCTGGGACTGGAGTGCAGACTTGAGGTTGAATGCATACTTCCCCGGATGAATCACTGGGTTTTAGAGACCATGCCGGCAATCGCCACGTTGAGATGCGCGCTCTTGCACCGTCTAAGCAACCCGAGAGAGAGGATGGAGCCTGCCTGTCGCTCTTGGAATCCAGGGAGTAGCTCCTCCATTGTCTTGAATGCATGAAACTGAAAGCAGTGCACACCACACAAAATTGGTCCGTCTTGTTCGCAACACGGTGGGCCGGTAGGCCTTCAAATACGCGCGCCACAATGGAAGCAAGACATCGGCTTTCAATGGGTGAAACTTCCGTGCTCACTCGGGTTGTAGATGATTTCTGTGGACCCTTAAGTTGGCAGTTTTCGGAGAAGTGAAGCTTCCGAAAGATCAACTTGGAATGCGAGATCCAGCCTTTTGTCCAAGGCCTGCAGCCACTCTTCCTGAACCTCACACAAGGAACACACAAGGTTCTTAAATGCACGCTCCAAGCGAAATACTCGGAAGGTTTGCGCCGCTGCTCTTGGTCGATCCGCAGCTTGCCAGCACTGGAAGATGACCAAATGTTGCACCAGGCATCGTGCCGCTGGTACCTTAAAGCATCTACAAGCTAGCACGTCTCGCCCCGTGCATCAACACTGAACTGACCTGGCAGAAGCAGTGAGTGGAACGAGTGGTCTGCATGGTTGCATTCGACTTCGGTACGTGAAGCCCGGAAGTTCCAGGTATCTGGAGCGCCTGGCTTCTCGGCAAGCTGCTGCAAGCGCGCTGCGCCGCGTTTTGCGCCGCGCTGCCGAGGGCGTCGACAAGGACCGGGTCAGGGCAGTTTTTCCCAGGGTCAGTGATGGGCATTTCGCCTCTTGCACTGTCCCCGAGCTCCGATGTTGGCGTGTTGAGGCATTGGGGTGTTGAAGTGCAGGGCCCGTATCAGCACGCTGCTCAAGGCCGGAAGACCAGCAGTTTCGGGCAAGCGTTTCACATGTCACTAAATATTGGGCTGTTCCAGGTCCGATCTAGTCCAGGGCTTTCGGTTTTGGGTTTCATGCTGGATCACATGGGTGTTGCTGGTCCTGAAGACCTCCAGCCTCCGACTCAACCTTGCACTGCATCATCTTTCCTGAAACCTTTCACCTCCAAACCTCGAAGCTTTCATTCGAGCGAGGAGGGCATCGATGCTCAGATCGGGCGCATCGAGCTGACCAAAAAAGGCACCGGCCTTCGGGATTTTGGCGGCTGTCGATGGGCAGGAGCAGCGGTTAATTGCCAGCTCATGCCAGCAACTTCGAACATCTGCAGCAGCCTCAAACTGAAGAAAGGCAACATAGAGCGTTTCGCATTGCAGGCTGGCTCGTGGACGTTCCGAGGGCCCTGGTGCCTGCAGTCTTGGAGGACAAAAACTTGCTACTCGGTACAACTCATAGATCAAAAGCATGGAGCCCCCGGCTTTCGGGGTTGAGCCGGCTCCCTGCTTCCGAGCGGCCATTCCTGGAAGCTGAGGCTTCTGAGCCGTAGGGAGTTGGTCAGATGTTGAGGCTTAAGCCTGAAAGCAGAGTGAGGATCTCTTCCCGTGATTTGAGAAGGGAACAGACTGGATGGCAGCTTTCTGAGGGCGAGCTTCAGATCTGAACCCCTCGGAGAAAAGGCGCCCCTCGATCAGCAACCCCAAAGCATCCAAGATCGCCTTCCGAGGCAAAATCGTGGCGTTCAGGTGCAGCCGGTGAGTGAGCTGCCGGACCTGGAACGGGGCTTTTGGCTGGCTTGGTCTGTTCGAGGTGTTGTGTGGAGACAGCACGGTCAAGTTTGGATGGACGTCAAACTCTGGTTTTGGATTCTGGATACTGAGATACTGAGAGCCATCGCAGTTAACCGCGGCTTCATGCCATTGGTTTCAGATGTCCATTTCAGGGCCTTGGAGCATCTCATCGTCGAGCAAAAACACTCAAATCCCCAGCCCAATAAAATGCCAATGTTTGATTACTGACTACTGGAGGACATCATCGACGATGGGCGTGTAACAGTCGCCACGCGGCAGACGCGGAGGAGGAGCTGCAGCTTAGGAATCATGGTTTTGTTGCGAAGCCAGACTGAAAGTGCCCGGAGACCATTCCGGGTGTTCATCTCCCGATAAATGATGACGTGTGGATGCTTAGTTCAGTTAGTCCTTTATCTATACGCTTGTGTTCTAGCTGTGCTAGTGTCTTTCAGCTCCCGACATGGTGCGGGGCACATGTCGGGAAGGTCCAGCTTCTTTCTGAGTCGTTCGCAGTCGTCTGAGTGGGCTTTGGGAAAATCGTTCCCAATGAAGCCAGCGAATAGAAGTATGCATCACATGGATTGACCGCTGGTGGGGGGTAAGAAGTTAACGAGGCCCTGCCTCCAGAGAACCCGCTCGAGGCGCCCCGCCCGCGGGCCAAGGCGGCTGCCTTTAGCGGAGCGCCGCGCGCAGCGGCGCCAGGAGTTGCGACCTCATGCGACCTCGAGACCGAGTCCTGGAGGGGGGTGTTCAACCGGTTGGAACATCGAACGGCCAGTAGGAAGAGTACAAGACGAGTGTAAGAGCGGGAGCACCGGTGCTCTACATATGCAAGCCGGGCAGGCTGTGTTTGATTCGCTTTGATGGTGATTTGTAAAGTCGTGATCGTTGGCGCTCGTGCCCGCCTATTCTGCTGCAGACCCAACACTTGCGGGAGAGGACTCGACATTCGGACGCTCAGCAATGAAGACTCAAGGCCATTCAAGGCCTGACTTTCCAAGTTTTCAGGTTCCTTTACCCTTCCGGGCGTCGACAGCTCTTCGGCCGGGGCCCCGGTGGCTCCTCAAACTCCGACTCCTGCGGAAGTCCTTGACCCTTCGCTTTCAGCAGAGGATGGCCGCAGGCTCACATCCCAAGTCCGAGTCCGCGCGAAACTTCTCACCGGATCACCAAAAAGCCTCCTTCACCTGAAACCCCAAGCAGTAGGGCCGGGCTGTGGGGTTTGGTCAGCGGGGTGCGAGGCTTCTTCGGCGAGAGAAGCTTTGGCATTTACTGAATCTTTCTGGGCCTTCGATATGAGGCTGGATTTTCATCAAGGTCCCGTCTAGCTGTTTATCCTGGTAAGTCCTCGTCTCAGAGGCTAGAAACCCTCCATGCTACCACCATCATCACGGAGGCAATGCGTTATCGCCCACAGCCAAGAAACGCAGTCCCGGTTAGCTCCATGGAAGGAAGAGAACAGTGTCCCAAATCTCCAGGAGTACGAACCAGCAAACGGAATGCTGTGTAACAAGCCGCTATGTGGCACCCGTCCAGCTTTCTGGTGCTGATGGGCCACGAGCAAGCCTTCGTATCGGAGTCACATCAGGGTAGATCGTGCGAAACCGCCTCATCGTGCGCATACGCGAGGCTGATGGCCTCGGAGAGGAATTTGCACAGCAGGTTTGGATATGGTTTTCCTCACCGATGCCTTTCAAGGATTGAATGCCGAACCCAAGATCCCTAAACATTTTACGCCTCTGTTCCTCACCCTTCCCTTCTAAGGTCAGTGGTTGCAGGCCGGCAAGAAGGCTACCACCGCTGCGGAGCCCAGTGCAAAAGGACGTCTGCAGTGGTTTATTCTCCGTTATTCCTAGCAAAGCCTGGGAAGCCCGGCTCCACCCACCTCGATGGATGATGCATGTAATTCCTGTCAGAAGCTCTTATGTAACCAGACTCTGCTAGTCTGCGCCGGCGTTTGTCACTATATTTGCACTCTGGCTGAACAAATGACACGCCTGGCAGTAACCCATAAAAACACGCAAGCCAAGGCTCGAAAGCTAAGAGAAGCCCTAAAGCCATCTGAAGCCAAAGAGCTTAGCAGCTTGCTTCGTGTTTGCATGTTTTTTTTTCTCGCCCCCCGCTGCCGGGCCCGAGCTTTGACACGGTGGCGCCTCCCACAGTGCCCGTCATGGCAGCTCGGTGGAGTCGGGCCGTAGGGCAGGTTGCAAAGGAGTTACAGATGCTGAGGGCTGGGTGAGGGCTTTCCGAATTCGGAGAGGGTTCCGCGAGTTGAGGTTTAGTCCGTGCTTCGGATTGAAATACGTGGAGTTGTAGTTGTAGCATTGCGGACGGTGCGGACAGAAATCGGGATCGAGCCTTGTGATCTTTCGTTCCCATGTCTCAAACACCCACGAAGCGACTTTCCAAACAAAGCCTCTCTCAAAACCCACCTGTGGCGAAGTGAGGGTATTGGCCACGCTAAGCTTCCCTCGTCTCGGAACCCGGACCACGCACACGAAGGCAGAGGGCCCGAACTGAGTGGCCGAGGAGAAGCAGTGCCCTAGGCCTGACGTGGGTTTCGTGGGGACATGAGGCTTTGGGACAACGTTACAAATCCGCATCCTGACCCTACCTTGCGAGCATACTACATCCATCCGAAGGATCAGAGCTAAATGTGCTCCCTATCGAATTCGAAGCCCTCACCCTCCCCGCGAATTCTTCAATCCCGAACCTTCAAGCCCTCAACTCTGTTGTTTTGCAGCCTGCGTCCGATTTTTATATACAACAAGGCACAGGCATATATTGAAATCATAAACAGCTTCGCCCGCACAGAGACAGGCCTGGCAACTCGGTATCCGTGCTGCCCTTGGACCTTTTCGCAGAAGCTTTCGGGACTTGGATTGTCCGACGTGGATTGAGAGTTGAGAGTTGAGGGAATCAGTTCCCGCTCCGAATGCTTTCACGTCGAGGAGAAGTGGGAGGCACTAGCTGTGATGGCCACGAATGGCGACGAGGATAGCGCCAAGTGGCTCTACGTGAGGACAGGAGGGCTATGTCTCGATTCGGCGCTCAAGCCTCCCGAAGACAACATGATACCCACATATCGAAAGTCTAAGTTTGACATAGAATTTGTCTTTTCTCTGGCTTCGAATGATGCCATCATATCCAGACGGCCAGACAGACGGGAGTCCGAAAACGCAAGAATCCGCGACAGCCGAAACTGCACACTTTTGACTTCGCTCTTGTGCCGATTGGGATTCCTCAGACCAGAAGCCGAAAAACCGTTCGCTTTGCGAGGAACTTGCCTGAGGATGCGAAAAGCCTGGGCCCCACACCTTATCTGGCCATGGGCTTTGCGGTGCTCATCGGAGTTTACATTGTTTGCAAGCACACAACATATAAGTTTGGTATTGACTGCGGGCCTTCGGTGCGCAAGCGGCTGTTTAGTGTCATGCAGGAAAAGCCCAAGTAGCTCTCTGACTGAACGTGTGGTGTCTGTCAGCAATGTCATAGTTCAGCATTGCTATGGCGCTTGCGTCCTGCAGGTCGTTTAAGCAATCTGGTCTGAAAGCAGGCATACCTAGGATTTATCAGGAATCCCAATTCAGTGAATCCTTGCCTTGAGTTCCCTGGAGATGTTGGGGTTTTGACAATTGCATGGGTTCTAGGGCTTACGATATCCCACAATTTCGCAGAGAGGCTTTCGTTTGTCAGATCGCTGTGTAAATGTGTCCCAGCCAGCTCCTTGAACGCATATGACTCGTAATCAGATGTTTTGATGGCTTGCAGCAGGTGTTGAAGGCGAGATTTCTCTTTGCTCGTCGACACATTTGCAGCATAGGCCAGGTCGCCTCTAAGCTCTTGCGCCCTGAGGCTACATATGGTTTAAGCAATTCCACCTCCATGGCGACGTTGTGCGAGCCTCCTTCTTCGGATGGAAGAAGGGGCAAGAACGCCCCAGCCTCGGGCCATGCAGGGGTTATTGCCAAGTGTTTTTTGGGGTCTCCGGCAAATGCACTCTGCCTTACTGGTAGTGTAGATGTCAAAGCTGCGCTTCCAGCTTCACAGGAACCGTTTGCGGATGTTGTTTTCGGGAGGGGTCTTCGGGGCCCGGGCAAGCCAACACATGCAATCTTGATTACACGCTGAGATCCGTGGTGCAGGCTGTACTGCAGGCCCTGTAGGTCTCGATTTTGAGACCTCGGGAATACAAGCAACCTGAGAAGACGTCGCCGTAGCCCAAAGGCAACCTGAAACCTCCAAACCCCGAAACCCGAGACCTACCCGAACCCGGAAACCCGACACCAGCATTCGGAGGTTTACACCGTTGGTTGTCTTTTGGTTAGGGATCGTGGTTTCGGAGTCTGGTCGCTGCAACCCCCGCAAGCCGAAGCCCTGCGCTCCCTGATGCCTGGAGTCCATCAAACTCATGCAAGACCAAGGTGAAGTGCCTGAACCGGCCCTCTGAGCCTTTAGCCCTGAAGCTTGAATCTTAAACATCCCTAAACCTGCGCAGGATGGTGTTTGGCAGAGCACTGCTCTCAGCTGTAAGGTTCGTGAAGATGGGCAGTTTAAAGGCTAACGACTTAGGGGTGTTTCGGGACTTTAGGGACCTCGGGGGGACTTGATCCAACCTTTGCCCATAAGGCCCAAGCTCCGAAGCCCAAGTTGCTGAGCTTATGATCCCAATGGCCTCTTCCTGGAGTTTCGCAGCCTAGACGAATCCTAGGTGATTCAGGATTTCATAGGGTTGTGCTCAAGCGGGAACCATCAATATTTATCATCGGCGGGGGCGTTGCCGAACATATTGCAGCAACGGTGGTGGAGAGCACTCGTACAGACGGATTCGGCAGGCATGATGAAGCTTGTACAAGTCTGCGGCCCACAAATGTCCGTGTTTTGGAAAGAAGAACTGAGGCCTTGTTGACTGTCGAGCGGAGATAACAAGGGCGCTTGATTTTTAGCCACGGTCGCGCAAGACAAGCTTCCGATTTCGCGCTGCGCCTTTAACCGGAGTTACGGCTGAAGATCTTCTCGGTTTCAAAGCCAAGCGTCAAAAGGATGGGGATAGGGTTCCCAGCGATCCAAGCCCTGATGCTTGGAGCTTGTCTTGTTGAGTCTAGGTGTGGCACCAAGTGGGAGGCCATCTCTCTCAAGAAGGACTGGTTGGAACCCTATGTTACACCCATGGACGCCCAGGCCATTGCCTCTCCCCACAACCGAAGTTGCCGGGCCTGACTTGGGAATTGCCTCCGGATTTCGGGATTCACAGTTCCAGTCCTGGAGCTTGGGCTTTTTGTAGAGCTTGTGTAGATTTTTTTTGCAGTCCACCAGCTTCACTGGTTCCGGGAGCACGGGGTTTTGGATTTCAGCCTCTTGACGCAAAGATGCATTGGTGGTGAGGAGCTTGACGGCAAGGACCTTGGTGGCGACAACCCCCTATCGGTGCAGTCCCCGGGGCTTTTGGGGTTCGGTGCTTTTCGGATTCAGGTGTGTTCAGGGTTCAGGTCCGGTCCTGTGAGGGAGGATCCAGAGTAAGAGAATCTTGCTCGTGGTCATTCGTGGTCTGGTTTCAATCCAGCCAAGAATGACCAGTCCCACCCTCAGAATGGATTGTTAGCACAAAGACCAACGTTCTGAACCCTCTTCAAATTCCATTCGGGATACGATACAGGTAACGCATCCCAGTCTCGCTTAAAAACAATACTTAATGTTTCGCCTGGGTCCGAAATTACTTTCCTCATCAAGGCTCCATGCTTTCTCTTTTGTCTTGGGTCGGGCTGAGGTCTTGTTCTCGTTCCTCAAGTCGAAAAGCAAGAGATAACTAGGACGAGCACGATGAACGTGAAGACTTAGTCGAGCATGCGAGAGCCGGTCGCAGCCATTTCGCCCAAGCAGGCGTTGGGTAGCTATTTTCAAGCGTTTCGGATTTCGAAATTCGGGATTCAGGACCGAATGCAGGTCGCAAGGGGAGTGCCAGGGACGGGTGTTCCTGCATGGCTCAGGGTGTAAGTGCAGAGTTTTTGCTTGGACTGCCTTCCATGTCGGATGTCGAGACAGACTCGGTCGAGCAAGCGGTGGCAGATCTCTTCCTGGCCTCCACGGTTGGCCGTTCACATCCGTCCGATCCATATGACTCCGGCGGCGTGCCTGAGTTCAGCTGATACTTAGAGAATCGCTACAGCCTGCATCCAGAGTTGGCTTGCCTCCGCTTGGAACATCCGGTGCTCTTACAAGTTCATGGAGACCGTGAGCTTCAGGGTTTACCGCGCTCGAGCTCTGAAAGCGCCAAGAGCGCTGCTTTAGGGCTTTGGTACTGAAGAGGGCACGGAGTACCCAGTGTCATAGGTGCAGAAGGTATATAAGGAGAATTTGCTTTGTCATATCTTCAACCTCAAGCCCTAGGCCATGCTCTGGTTTCTTCCTCGCGTGATTATGTGCCGACTGTTTTCAGGTTTGGCAGTTCGGAATCGTCGCTAAGTTCCTTAAGGATGGTTCAGTAAAGGGCGAGGAAGCCCGCTTGACCCTCAGCCCCAAAGCCGTTGAGGTTTCCAGTTGGAGACCTTTCGGGCAATTCACCCCGGTGTCATTCGCGCAGTGCCGGCCTACAAGGTGCCTTGAGAAATTTGCTAAGATCAATAGCAGCGTTCTGCCGTCGTTCATAGCTTGTCTCACTTTGCTGGTGTTCGAGGTGCTCGTTGGTCGTGGGCGAGCACTCAGAGGGCGACCAGATGGTTTGCACAATGCCAGCTTCGAGACGGAGACGATTGAGGAGCATTTCCAGCGTTTTGAAGTTTGCACGGCAGGGATCAGGGATTTCTTGTCCGGTTGAAGATGCAGAGTGAGCATTTGTGGGCATTGAATCTAGCGGTCAGGAACGCATGTTGCAGGTCAGGTGTCTTGAGGCTGGAGTCTGGGCATTAGAGGCCTTTTTACTTTCCATCAGCACGATTCAGGAGTTCTGGTCTCACAGCTGGCATGCACCAGCCTGGATGAAGATTCTTACTTTGACGTTCGTCAACAATGGCCGCACAGCAGCCTCGTTGGGGATGCTCGCAGCAACCGCGGGGTTCACCCTGAGCGTCGCGGAGGTGGCCCACCGACAACGACGACAACAACAACCCAGTAGTAGTTAAGAGCAGATGTGCTACTGTTAATAGGCCCGAAGCCAGGAGCTCGTCGCTAGTATAGTAGCTAGTAGCGAGTAGCTAGTAGAGTAGCGAGTGCAGAGTAGCTAGTATGTTGTAGCCTGGAGCCAGCAAGTACTTGCAGTTGCAGTGATGGCCAGTCCCTTATACCTCGTAGGTAGTAGCTAGTAGCAAGCAAGAGCAGCTAGGGGCTTGCAGCCAGTAGCAAGCAGCAAGCAGCTAAGTAGCCATTAATGAAGTAGCAAGTAGTAAGTCGTAGGTGATAGGTAGGGAGTTGCTTATGTTGAAGGGTTCAAGTCCAACTGTTGTGGCGACCAGTGGTCGTGGGACATATCAGTCGCACGCCTACAGATTGCTCACGGCTGGGGTGCGAGCATGTGGTGTATGTTTAATTAACTTCATAGAGCTCGTTTTCGCTGGGCATTTTCAATACTTGGCCAGGCATTGCCACTGACACTGGCACAGCGAATTCGTTGTCCATGGTGTGCGCTGCTCGGGGCATTAGTCTATATCGCCTGTCTCCTCTTCTGGCGGCGGTCGAGCAAGGTATTCCTGGACATAATTTGCTTCTTGGCACTGAAGTAGCTAGTGGGCTCCGAACGAAAGTGCACAGGGCTTCGGTCTGGACCCGACATCCTACAAGGGTCGGGCTAGGCACCCAGAAATCAAGCGGCGACGGAGCTGCAAGAAGCGATCTCCATCTGCTTTCGGAGTGACTACCCTGAGACTTCAACCAAAGAGCAGTATGAAACTGAGGGTGTTGAGGGCGTGGGTTGACATGGCGTCTACGCAAGCCAGCATGACGAAGACCTTGTGACGCAGATGCAGATGCCCCATTCTCTTGCTGCCACTGACACTGCCATCCTAGCAGCGGCAGCAGCGTCAGCAGCGGCGGGAGCGGCAGGAGCGGACGCTGCAGTGGCAAGGCCCCGCAAGCACGGCAAAGCAACAACAACTGCAAGAGTGACAACAGAATCAACGCACGAACCCAAAAGCTTTGCCTAAATCCGGGTCCAGGGTCCAGTGGGCTTCGGCTGTCTCAGGTATAAATCAAGAGGACGTGAGTTTCAAGAAGGCTGCACTGACCAGCATGGCGGCAATCCTGTATCTTCGGTGAAAATTTGGAGAGGGGATGGCTTTAGGTTGAGGTGCACTGACTGTCTGCTTGTGTTTGTGTGCGTGTGTGTCGGGTTGTGTAGGCTTTAGGGTTCATGTGGGTGGGATGATTGTGAGGACGACGCTGAAGACGACGATGATGATGACGTTGATGACGATGTTGCTGCGATGATAGTGCTAGTTGTGGTGGTGGCGGTGCTGCTGCTGCAGCTGGTGGCGATGGTAATGATGCTGAAGATGACGATGACGATCACCGCCACGATGAAGATGATGCCGCTGGCCATGACAATGAAATGCAGCGCGGAGACTATCTACTAGCTGCTCGACAAACGCACCTGTTCCTATGTGCGGTGTTCTTCAAGATGCTGCTCCTTGAGGAAGCAATCGGAGGCATTGCTCGTCGTGTGGGATGCAACATGGGACGCCAGATTGTGCCCAGGCTTGCGAAAGTTATCCTTGGATGCAGTTTCGGTGAACTGTTTAGTCATTTAGTTTGGGAATTGCGGAATTGTGCAGTCAAGGCTTCGGAAGCTCGGATGTCTGTAAGAGTTCATGGAACCTACCATCCTCAGCGAAATCGGCTGTAGTCTTCGAATTGGCTCGGAGATCCATCCCACGCAGCTTGAAATCCTGGGCTCTGGCTTAGCCCAACTCGTCAACAACAACAACAGCAGCAACAACGGCAACGGCAACAGCAACGGCAACAGCAACGGCAACAGCAACAGCAGCAGCAACAACGGCAACGGCAACAGCAACGGCAACAGCAACGGCAACAGCAACAGCAGCAGCAACAGCAACAGCAACAGCAACAGCAGCAGCAACACCACAGCAGCAGCAACAGCAACAGCAGCAGCAGCAGCAGCAGCAGCAGCAGCAGCCGCGGCAGCAGCAGCAGCAGCGGCAGCAGCAGCAGCCGCGGCAGCAGCAGCAGCAGCAGCGGCAGCAGCAGCAGCAGCAGCGGCAGCAGCGCGGCAGCCGCGGCAGCAGCAGCAGCCGCGGCAGCAGCAGCAGCCGCGGCAGCAGCAGCAGCCGCGGCAGCAGCAGCAGCCGCGGCAGCAGCAGCAGCAGGCAGCAGCAGCAGCCGCGGCAGCTGCAGCAGCCGCGGCAGCAGCAGCAGCCGCGGCAGCAGCAGCAGCAGCGGCAGCAGCAGCAGCGGCAGCAGCAGCAGCAGCGGCAGCAGCAGCAGCGGCAGCAGCAGCAGCAGCAGCAACGACAACACCAAGTCAAATTCAACAACAACAGCAACAACCACCACCCTGTCTCAAGTGAGGGCTCGCATGCGAGAAGTGTGATCGTCTTGACTGGCTGTTATCCCACCTTCGGGCAGGCTGCAGTCACGCTAATCCCAATTGCAGCAACAACACCATCATCCAAGGTGGTGTGTTTTCGAGCTTGCAGCTTTCCTGCAATCTCGTCGCACTGGGGCAGCAGCACGGGCGACTTGGAGGGCGTTAAGGTTGCTATGCTACACAGTCTGGTTTCAGACAATTCTTTTTCTCTTGGAGGCCAAGCTGTGCGTGCGTCCAGTCATCCTGGGCCCTGTGCTCATGTCGGGCAGCTGCGGCCTTTTGGTAGCCAGCCTTACTTTGTCCACGAACGTTGTGCAGAGCTACACTGACTTTGAAGCGACCATTGCATTTACCATGGTACTCGCATTTTTCTGCTTGCTTTTCGCAGCACACCTGGGCCGCATCTTCTGTCGCAACCTGGACATGCTCCAACGGCAGCTATTGCAGTTCAGAATTGAGGATGCCAAGTGTGCCTGCTGTGAGACGGACGATTGCAAACGTGTCGATCCTAAGACAGGCCAGCAATTTGCGTGCGACCGACGGGTTCTCCTGCAAGTCATCGCGGCTTGGTTTGGCAGCATCTCCAAGTTCGAGGCCTTGATCAATGGCGAAGTGAGAAGAGTTCTGTTCTGTGAGCTCACCAGTGTACGCTTCATTTATGGGTATTTGTGTGCCGCCACCATCTGCATACTGTGGTTTCATATGGATCAAGCTATGTTTGCCATCCATGCTGGACGTGTGTCAGCAAGTGAGGGGCGAGTGATGGTGTTCCGCTGGTTGGTGTGGTGGTTGGTCCTCGAACCTCTCCTCTTCATCGTCTTCGCTGGCTTTGCCTGGGCACTGCGCAAGCGCTGCGGTCGATACCTTGTTGTAGATCTCTTTGTAACGGCGCTGACCATGATTCCATCAGCTGCCATTTTTTTGGGCTGCTGGGCTGTGCTTAAGCAACTAGTGACTACGCATGGACGATGAGTACTCCAGATAGCCTTTCCCACTTTAGCACCAAATCCGCCCATCAGTTTACAAGTGACAGCTTGAAGCCGTACACTTAGCCCAAAGGCTTTTATGGGATTTAGACAGCGTAAGCAGCCATACAGTACCATTTTCCATGTCAATCGAAATACTTGAAATACTAGAAGTAGCAAGAGTAGTAGATGTAGTAGGTGTTGTAGTCGTCGTAGTGGTGGTGGTGGGGGTAGTGCAGCAGCAGCAGTGGCAGTGGCGGTGGCAGTGGAAATGGCAGTGGCAGTGGAGGTGGCAGTAGCAGTGGCAGGAGCAGTAGCAGTAGCAGTAGTAGTAGTAGTAGTAGTAGAAGAAGTCGTAGTCGTCGTAGTAGTGGCAGTAGTATTGATAGTGGCAGAAGTAGTAGTAGTAGTAGTAGTAGTAGTAGTAGTAGTAGTAGTAGTAGTAGTAGTAGTAGTAGTACTGTAGTACTGTAGTAGTAGTAGTAGTAGTAGTAGTAGTAGTAGAAGTAGAAGTAGAAGTAGGAGTAGAAGTGGTAGTAGTAGTAGTAGTAGTAGTAGAAGGAGAAAGTAGTAGTAGTAGTCGTACTAGTCGTACTAGTCGTACTAGTCGTTGTAGTCGTTGTAGTCGTAGTAGTAGTAGTAGTAGTAGTCGTAGTAGTCGTAGTAGTCGTAGTAGTCGTAGTAGTCGTAGTAGTCGTAGTAGTCGTAGTAGTCGTAGTAGTAGTAGTTGTCGTAGTCGTAGTCGTAGTAGTAGTAGTAGTAGTAGTAGTAGTAGTAGTAGTCGTAGTAGTAGTAGTAGTAGTAGTAGTAGTAGTAGTCGTAGTCGTAGTAGTCGTAGTAGTCGTAGTAGTCGTAGTAGTAGTAGTAGTAGTAGTTGTAGTAGTAGTAGTAGTAGTTGTAGTAGTAGTAGTAGTAGTAGTAGTAGTAGTAGTAGGAGTAGTAGTAGTGGCAGTAGTTGTAGTTGTAGTAGGTGGTGGAGGAGGAAAATGGGCAGGAGGAGTGGTAGGAGAGGGAGGAGTACGACGCGTTGCATCAATGGCTGGCAGCAGCTTCCGGAGCTGGCAATGGTGTAGTACTCTTGTGTGATCATATGTTTTGGGTCTGTGGTGTGTATTTTTGAGAGAAGGCGGAATCATCTTCTGCCGGGCTTAATTCTGCCAAATCCAAGGCTTCAGCATACTGGAGCAGCGCCTCGATAGCGCGCGGTCTGTCACAGGTGGATTGATCTTCGCAGCTGTTGTGGGGACCAGCTCTCTCTGCGCCTGGCTTGCCGTTTGCAAACTCCTTCCTCGGGGCCTGCCAAAGTTCTCTTGAGTAGCGTTTGCATGCGAGCTGCGTGACCCAGGACCAGTGGTAATAACCTTCACGTTGAGCCTGATGTACATTCATCTTGCTCGTTTCGTTGCGCCAAGATCTGCCCCTCACGCGAAAACTGGCCTCGTTGACAGACGATCAGTTGCTTGAGTTTAGTGTTTACATCTTGCATCGCCCGGACTTGTCACCCTCATCCTGCAGACTTTATTACTTTGTATGTATGAATCGAATGCCAAACCTGAAGCCCTGTCGCTTCGAGTGCGTGCCTTCAGCCCTCTAAACCCCAAGCTGCAATTCGCTTGGAACAGGGGGTTCAACGAAGCATCGTCTGGATTTCTGGTTGTTATGGGGTGTTAGTTAAGTCCTGACTGCTTGTCTTAAGGCCAGACTAGGAGAGCGTGAGCTGTTAATGCATGCGAAGGCTTATACTCGTCAAGCCGTACAAAACCGGTATCACTCAGCCCCTGAGACGCCTCCCTGCCAACATGTGCTCGCCGGCTTAGATCCTGAACACATCGGACTTTTGATTTGTTTTGTAGAGCTTAAACCGACTGCCCTTCGAACAGCATGGAATGCTCCACCATACTCCTCCGGGTCGGCGGAGGTTGTAGTAAAGGTTCGTCTGAGCAGAAATGAAGCGGGATGGCGACGATGACCAGGATGATGGTGATGGAGATGATAGTGATGGGGGTGATGATGATGGTTCATGGAGGATGATTGGTGAGTGATAAGCGTTGAATGATGACTACGATCTTGCCAAGCACCCGAGATCTTTCTTGGCAGTGTCGCGCTTGCTGGCCAGCCCGCGGGCATGGATGCTTAGTTGTTGCACGATCGATGTTCACTTCTGGCCGTTCTGAAAGAATCGTTCCCCAAACATTTGAGCTCGAACAGATGGTTTAATGCATTTGACGAAGTCGTGAATCTGACTCCTGACCACGCCCGAAGATGACGGATGACGCCAGGAAACATCCAGTAAGCACTTGCTCAGGAGCTCCGGAGCCTCAAAGAGAGCCAAATCAAAGAAATCTCACCCAGCCGCCCTTCTTAGAGGTCAAGACCGTCACAAGCAAGGAGAAAGACGAGCTGGTCGCCAAGCAGGCCGAGCGGAGACGGCAGAGCAGTTTTTTTCTTTTTGCTTGACCTTGTTGTGCTCTGCCATGAAGCTTTGATGGCCCGAAAAGCAAAAGCTTGGGTTAATTCTCACTGACGGGGGTGTTGTAGAGGTCTGGGGTCTGCCTCACCTGGTCAGACGAGTCTTCAATCAATGCGGTTTTTGCACAAGGGAGTTTACTGGTTGGGGGTGACCTGGATTGTCCCGATTGATCATATGCAAACCTTGTGGAACCAATACATTGCAGGAGAGCCTTTCAGGAACCAGCCTACAAAACCCCACAACATAGCAGCATCCTTCCGCATCCGTCCGATGCTTTGACACTTCCTCACAATCATTCGTGGGTCCTTGCTCTCAATCAAGACTTGATAGTTTGGTGTCTTGGGGCTGAAAGCCGTGCAATACAGGACTGCTAGGAGATAGTACTTCTGTTGTAGCACAATCCCCGCACGATAAGAATCGAAGTGGTGGGCCAATATGTGTCTAACGGCGAGGATGTGAGTTCCCGTCCAAAGTTTTGCCACCCGAGTGCGCAAACACCAAAACAAGTGGCACCCAGCCTCCATCGCAGCAACACCGGAACCCTGCAGCATTCATCCCTTGTTTGAGTCCCAAATCCATCCCAAGCCTTGAACATGCCCTTGGTTCTCTTCGTCCAGGGCGACAAGGGCGATGCTGGCTCGGAAGACACGTCAAAAGACAAGAAGGACCAGTGGCCAGACGAGAGCTTGAAAGGCCTCCAGGTTCTCCGGCTCTAGGAGCCCGTTGGAGGAAGCTCAAACTCCTCGGCGCAATTCTTCAACACTAAGTGGTGAGGCCTGTCCCCGATCTAGGTTCGGACAATACAGTCCAGGGGCCATGTTCGGGTTCAGGCCAGGCAGCAGAACGCCTGGATCTCAAAGGCTGCTGCTTGAGATCCGAAGTCTTATCCAAGTCCGCTTCAAGTCTGCCCATAGTATCGTGAAATGCCTAGAGCTCTCGACGCAAAGCCACCGCGAAGTGCAGAAAAGGAGTCCAATCTCTTCCTCGTGATTTTAGTGTAGCGTTCGTCTCTCATCTTGTTCCCTAAACCAGTTTGATTCCCGATCTCTGAAACTTTCGCACGCGCAGGAAAAGGCTGACAAGGACAAGCGCAGCCGTGGCTCGATCCAACGACGACCGCTATCAGGGCTCAGGGAGGCTCAGGGAGGCTCAGGGAGGCTCAGGGAGGCTCAGGGAGGCTCAAGGGGCTCAAGGGAGGCTCAGGGAGGCTCAAGAAAAGTCAGGGAGGCTCAGGGAGGCTCAGGGAGGCTCAGGGAGGCTCAGGGAGGCTCAGGGAGGCTCAGGGAGGCTCAGGGAGGCTCAAGGGGCTCAAGGGAGGCTCAGGGAGGCTCAAGAAAAGTCAGGGAGGCTCAGGGAGGCTCAGGGAGGCTCAAGGGAGGCTCAAGGGAGGCTCAGGGAAGCTCAGCTCAGGGAGGCTCAGGGAGGCTCAGGGGCTCCAGCAGAGGTCTAGGGCCGGCGTGAGGGTTCCAGGGTTCAGGGATTTAGAGTCAGGGTTCGGCTTTTCGAACTGACGCACGACATGGCCATGCTCCTGAATGGCGCCAGTACATGTGAGGAAAGCAGTTTGGCCGTGTCTTGTAAATCTCCTGGTGTTTTCCGATGATCTTGGGATGGTTTCTTGGTAGTCTCCTGGTCACTCTCCCGTGGTCTCTTGAGGCTCTCCCAGTCTCTAGTCGTCGTGGGGGCTGTGGTGGTTGTGATGGTCTTGGTGGTCTTGGTCATCGCGGCCGTCATAGTCGCCATCGTGCTCTATCAATGCCTGGGGAGCTACGCTAGCACAGTGTTGGGCGGCCGGGACATTTTTGTTGTAGCGATGTAGGCTCCTGTTGGAGCATGCCCTGGTGTTCGGGGTTGGCCCGGTGCTGTGAGCTCAGCGGGGGCCGAAGTCTTGTCAACATGGTCCCCACTTCGAGCCAAGGTACGGTAAGGCACAGGCGTGGCACGTAATAACTGTAATAATCAAGAAGGGACGATCGAACTCCTCGCCCCTTTCTGGTTTACCATCGCCTGCCGAGGAAGCGGCAGCAAGAAGTCCAAGCGCAGCCAAAGTGGCAGCAAGCGAAAAAGAAGCAGCAGCAAGCGCAAGCGCAGTCGTAGCGGCAGCAAAAGGCAGCTGGGTTGCATCTGAGGAAGCCTTCGCAGTGTCATTGGACTCCTGATCTCAACCGCTACAAGCATGTCTTTTGCGATTTGTCGCTTAGCCCTCACAAACTGGACATGTCCCGAGCCCTGACGCTCAACGACACTTCAATAGTCATGGCCCCTCAGGCTTTTAAGGACCAGAAACTCATCAAGGTCTTTAGTCACCAACAGAATGCACCCGATACTTTGAACTTGTTTTCTAGCTCACAGGAAGCGCAGCCGCAGTGGCAGCCGGCGCAAGCGCAGCCGCAGTCGCTCCAAGCGAAAGCGCAGCCGAAGCTCCGCGACAGCGATCGAAGGGTAGGTCTCAGGGTCCAGCCTTCCAAGCCTCTGATGCCCTGTACCTTCATGAGTAACACACAGGTGTTGAATTGCCGTCTGGAGCTTTCAGTAAGCACTGGCTGTCAACCTCTTTGACGGCATGGTCTTGATGGCTCATGGCCACTTCAATCATCCCGAGACCATAGCCACTTTGCGACCAAAAGCCCGCAGCAGCGTCCAAGCCCAAAACCCGCCGTTCTTTCGACGGGATTACCCCGTGCACCGTCTTGGTACTGAGCTCTCCACATTCAGCGACTTAGGTCGAAGTGGACGGAGAAGGACAGAGTCCGGCAGCGTGTGGATGAGCTTCCCGCTTGACCGGAAGTGTTCGACTTTCCGTCCGAAGCACTTCAACTTCACGAAATTCGCAATCTCATTGTCGAGGGAGAGGGGAATTGCGCTGGGTTTGGACGAAGGATTTCAGTGTTGCCCGCTTGAACTCCAGCAGGCCGTCTGGCCTTGTCGACTGAAGTCCTGAGCACGAAGCTTGCAATCTTAATCTTCGGCGTAAAGGCCGCATGGAGGGTCAACAAGACAGACTCGAGCAGAAAATCATTTTACCGCAATGTCAAAGGTACTAACCGCACGAACAGTAGCCGGTGGTATGCTCATGGATTGGAATCACGGTTCGCCACGTGGTTTGCACAGGAGTAGAAAGAGATCGCGAAGCAGAAGGAAGGACAGTAGCAGCCGGGCTCCCGGTCCTCTCAGGGTCACAGGGTCGACTGAGTCGCTGATTCAGGGCTCGGTTGGTATCTTGAATGTAAGTTGGTCTTGGGGGCAGGGCAGCAAAGCTGCAGTTGCAGCTGGTTTATCATTTTCCGCTACACTACTGTTCGATGTACCTGTGCACCAGGAAGAGCCAAAGTGCATTTGTCGTCCTCTTTTGAACATGCACCGCTCTGCATGCCATCCGATGCATGTAGCAATCCTTCTGCTTGGTAAGGGATGACCTACCCTTGCTCCTCAGGTTGAGGGTTTGGACCATGTCTGATGCCGATGACAATGGTGATGCTGATGTTGATGGCGATGGTGGTGATAGTATGTTGGTGCAAAACGCAGGCAACTAGCAACGAGAAGCAATCCTGCTGAGCTCCCAGATCAGGCCTTTACTCTGAGCAATATCTTGCAATTGCCTATCGTTCATCATCTCCTTAGATTATTTTTGTTCTCGCTTTTGCAAACTTTTTTGTTTGGTGGCCTTGCAGCTTTGAGGGCGCTTGGGCTCAGGGTGGGGGACCTGGTTTCTCTTACAGAGTACTTGCGAGTCCAAATTTGAGCTTTGGTTTCAATTGTTTGGGGCAACCAACACAAAGGCTGGCAGATGTGCTTTTGCAGTTTTCGGACAGCCTCGAAGCATATGCGCACCCTCGAAGGGTTTAAGTCGCAAGCCCAAAGCTTTCTTTACAGATCGATCCCCAATCCCCCAGTATCAGTCCTCTAGATGTAACATGAGGCCGCGGGCGTAGGAAGCGCAGCCGAAGCCGGCGGCGGCGGCGCAGTTTGGCACCCAGAAGTGAAAGATTTGAGGCAACTTTTGAAATCATGCTTACGTACAGATTCAGGATCGGTCAGGAGTTGAACAGTGACACGAAGGGCGAAGGGATTGAGGGGTTCGGATCTTGGCAGATCTGGGGATTTGAAGCCAACTCAAAACCTTCTTGCGCGCTCTATGAAAGCCTGCCGCCCTTAACCTCGAGTCGCAGCTCCTTGAACCCAGACATCAGAAGCCTCGGAAGCTTTCGGTCGTGCAGGAGAATTCAGCCTCTAGGTTAGCTTAAGATCAGGCTGCAAGCGCTATTAACATCCTTCTTCTGCTTCACCAGTACCTCCTGAAGCCTTCAAGCTGAAGTCCCAATTGTCGACCTCCAGCCCTAAGGCCGAAGACAGAAACCCTCGGCCCCCAACACCACAGACGCCAGCAGTCCCACACCGAGGGAGATCCCTCCCCAGAACTCCAAAACCCGGCCAAGCGAGGCAGAAGCGGCAGTAGGAGTCGTAGCAAGAGCCGGAACCGCAAAGACAAGGACTGATGGAGGGCCGGGGCGTTTGGGCCGGTAAAGGGTCAACCTGGTTCAATAGGACGAGAGTAGATTAATGACTGAAGAATCCATATTGTAATTCTAGCGTGGCTGGGAAGTAGTTTAGTGCCTCGTAAGGCTCGCAGCTGAGGAATCTTGAGGCTTTTCCTGTCGGACGGTCAACAAGTCTTGGCGCACATAGCTGATGGGCTGAGGATATGTGTTTCTCAGTTCATGGCACAGAGTCGACAGTCTGCGGGAGCCTTGAGCAATTGGAACATTTTGACGCATCTGCTGTGTTATCCAAGCAAACAGACAAACGAGATAGCTGGCTGGCTGGCTGGCTGGCTGGCTGGCTGGATAGGTAGATAGATAGATACCAGGTAGCTGGATAGGTAGATAAGTGAAATTAAGTGGATGTATGGCTCGACAGAAGATCCAGTATATGGACGGATCGATAGATTGCTACGCCACACAGACGTGACAGATGGATGTGATGAGCAGGTCGGTGGGAATAGCATTCAAGAGCCCCAAGCTTATTCCGTCAGTTACTTTGTGCCCGAGTTCGCGACTTCATGTAGTGATGCCTTGGAGAGGATGCTACGGGGGCCGGGGTTCGAGGCGAAGCCCTGCAACCCCAGTAAGTCTGAAGCAGATTGCTTGCCAGGACAGAAAGAAGAAGAAAAGCCGTAGCAGCAGCCGAAGCAGTGAGCTCAGTCGCAGTCCCAAACGAAAACCCAACAACCGCGACTCTGGAGACAGAAATCTGAAATTCTGACATCCGCGTACGGGGAACCATCCATTGACGGCAAAAGTTCCTAGCACCCAACCAGCCAACGAGCCTTCAGACACTCAGACGCTCAAAGTTGTCGCACGCCCAGCATTTCCGGCACAGCATGAGAGAAGCTTTGAGGTCGCAGCCGCAAGCGAAGAAGAGATAGCAGCGGGAGCCGAAAGAAGAAGGACAAGGAGTCTTGCATGGTTTTGATTTCACAGGCTTGAAAACTTGAAAACGTGTCTCCTTCGCTAACAGCTTACAGTGTTGCGGGTCGTCCGGGCTCCGCAGGTGGCATTCTGTAAAAGAAGACTTGCGAGAATTGTGCGAGTTGTGCAACAATGAGCTGCTAAGGAGAAGGAGAAGGAAAAGGCCGGAAAAGGATGGTCTTGAAGATTTCCTTCCACCTTCCTTTCCTTTCTATTTGCAAGAAGGCGGTAAGAAGATTTGCAAGACTGAACACAGCAGCGATCGGCCGGTCGCGTTGATGGGTGAGGTGACCATGGCCATTGCTGGTATCATTCTTGTCATCATAATAGTTACTATTGGCGTTTTTTCTATGGAAAACAAGTCACTACTATCATGATTGTTGTTGTTACATCGCCCTCATCATCACTCACATGCCATCATCATCAACATCGCCACCACCATGACCAGCATTTCCCCCACCATCATCGTCATGATCATCTTCTTCTTCTTCACTGTCATCTTCGTGCTCACCATCATCACCAATGCCATCATCTTCATCCTCCTCCTCCTCCTCATCATCAACACAGTCCTCATCCTCACCGGCACCATCTTCATCGTTATAGTCCTGGCGGTGGCGGTGGTGGTTGTGGCGATTGCGGCGGTATTGCCTGGTGCTGCTGGTGGTGCCTGATGCAAGCGCTGGTGATCAGGAGCTGAATAGCGATAAACCAGAACGCGAGGTTCAAAAGCACTTCCATCCAGGGCATGAGTCAGCATCAGCATGATAGCAGTGTATATATGTATGTTTGCGCCCTAACATCGAGTCGCATGTGCTTTTCAAGATTTCGAGCTCTAAGAAGATTTTATGTGCTCCGGGAACCTGCAAGCCCGGAGTCGTCCAGCCGGTGAAGCCCTGCAGTTCTTAACCTCACGGCTTCCATCCGCATATTCTTTGCTTGCAGGGATCGACAGGTCTTGTCACCTTCTGTATGCAACGAGATCAGCGAAGGGCGGTCAGCCAGCGAGAACGAAGTTTTACGCCCCAGCATGTTCTGTCGCAAGATCAGGATGGGGTGCGAATTGCACCAAAAGCGGGGTCATGGCAGGGGCTTGCACTCGCAGAATATTCCCCAAATTTGCAGTCTTATGGATGCTGTGCCTCTGACCAATAAGGCGAATCGCCAAAGCTGGGAGAGATAGGGTTGTTTACACCACCACTCGCTGACGCCGCTGGCGAGCTTTCAGGAGAAGGAGAAGGATAAGAAGAAAAAGAAAAAGCCATGGCCCCGGCTGTCTTGATGATGCTTGCAGTCTGGATGCCGAACGGAACCCTGCCTTTCCGGAGGCACTAACAAAAACAGGAGGCTCGTGCAAAAGAGCTCGTCCCCACGACTGCCTAGACTGGAAAGCCCTTTTGCACACATACAGAAAACCCACGGCCATTGCTTCATGAGGATGAACAAGCATGTCCTGCATGTATGAGTTGTCATGTACTCTTTTTGCTCCTGTCCTCCCTACAAAATATCAGGGTGCCGGAGACATTTGTGCTGTGGTGCTGTCGTGAGGTCCAAATCCAGCAGCGATGATAGTCAAGCTGACGGGTTTGGGCTGGAAGACTTGGGCTCCTTGTTTGTAAAACCCGAAGTATAGTGTCTGTAAGGCTGCAGTGGCACAAGAGGACTGTACAGATCCCTTGGTGGTAGCAGTAGAGGCTTGCAAGCTTTGTTTCTGGAGAGTGGAAATCCGGAACAGAAGCGGATCCTTGCCCCCCTGGGGCATTGCTGTTTAGCATGTCAACAGTATTGTGCAATCATTCGCCATACTCAAGGCCTTGGCGTTGCGGTTTGGCTCAGCAGTTCATTGAGGGTTCAGGAAAGTTGCAAGAAGCAGCGTTTAAACCATACATGACACACATGACACATACTCGTTTGCTGCCAGAAAGAGTTTAGGATGTTGATTTTTGAGACGGGAAATCTGCCTTCCTGGGTTCTGCGCGAATCGCGAGCGTGGAAAGCGATGTGAGCATGTTTTTGACTTCTCTCGCATGGGCAGAGATGTACCGGGCCGAACACGAAAACCAAAGCTGAGAACTCTGAGCCGCGATGCCATCAAAGACCGGCCAGGCGATAGCTCCGAAGAGGCGGCGTTCCCGGTTGTGCCCTTTGAGGGGTTAATTAGGGCCTTCGGGAAGCCATGTCTCCTTCAAGTCTTGCATCGTCGAAGTTGACGGTCAAGACTGGAGGCTTTTGCAGATTGATTAGCCTGGAGAAGAATTCTCCTTCTGACCTGGTGCCCACAGCAGGACAAGAAGAAGAAAAAGGCCGACAGCAGCGATGATAACGATTCCGACGATGACGATGAGAAGGAGAAGGAGAAATCCAAGCAGAAAGCAGACAAGGCTGGGCAGCGGAAGCTTACACTCAGCATCCAAGTTCTGCGTCTCAGGCGTCCTTGCCTAAGGTTCTGGAGCTGAGAGCTCAGGGTTTTCGGGAAAGCACACAGCGCGGCGGTCTAAGAAAGCATGTGAAGCCCAAGTCGCCAAAAGCTCGAAGCTTGGCAGGACGACGAGTCCAAGTCGGATGACGTGGAGGAGGTGAAGCCAGAGGCCAGAACTAAAGCTGCAGCTTCGGTGTTAGTGGCTCAGGACTTCAGGACTTCAGGTGTTTAGTGGGGCTTCGGGGTGACGCTTTTGGGTGTGGCTTCGACGTCAACCGCCAGCGAGTTCCCAAGTGCCGATCACGCACCCTCACTTCAGAAGGAACCTGGAAGAAGAGAGCGAGCTAGGTGGCCAGATTTTCGAATCAAGACACAAATCGTTGACTCTTCAAAACCTAAGTCCGTTGCCTTGCCCCGCAAGCAGGACCCCAGCAAGAAGCTGGAGGAGGAGGCTCGTAAAAAAGCTGCCAAGGCAAGGGAAGTACGGATCACTTCAGGGTCTACGGAGTCGGATGATGGTTTCGGGTTAAGGTCTTCGCGAACAACTGGCAGACAAATAGATGCATGGGAACGGACGGAGAGCTTCTTGATAGTGCTATGTCGGGGGATACCTCCTCCTCTCAGGCTCAGAAGCTGCACACTGCTCAGGATTCTCTTACATGAAAAGGTGAAGTCCTTTAACAGATGACCCTGCATCCTTGCATGATTGTGCGACCCTTATGCATCGGAGATGCTGAAACTTGCAAACTTTAAGCTCCGAAGCCTTGGGCCTGGAGCTCCGGGGTCCGGGACCCCAGCCTGAGTGAAGGCCATGCCACCCCCCAACTTGAACCAAGCCTACCAAAACTCTGCAAACACCCACAGCGAGGATTGAAGCTCCCTTCAGAAGCCTGCTGTCAAGCCTTCTTGAAGCTTGGAAGTGACGCCGAGGCCGCGGAAGAGGCTCAGGCGGCTGCCGCGAAGCTCGCGGCGGAAAAGGCCGAGGCAGCTGCCAGGCAGGGCGTTCTTCTTGTTCTTTGTTTGATGCAGTTCTTTTGGGGTAGGGCTTGAGGTCTAGGCGGTTTGGGGGGAGGTTCGGTTTTCGGGGAATATTTGGGAGCTTCAGCTTTCACAGGCTTGCAGGCTTGAAGCAACGATTTTCATGGGGTACTGTTTCGGAGAAACTGCAGCAATGTGCGGCGTTTGGGATTTGAGGCTCGTTGGGTTGGCAATTTTGTAGATGCTGCCGCCCTGCAGGCACAACCCTTACGGCAGCCGTAAGGCTTGCCTTGAAGGACCCAAAAGCCTGGCCTCAAAGCCTCCGAACCACGGTGAGCATATGTCACCCTCAACCGTAAATCCTGTCCCTCAGATCATGTTATGTCATGAGGCAAAAGCAGCGAGAAAGCCTCACCAAGGCCAGAGATTTGCACAGCTACTGTGACAGTTTGACGCATGGCTTGTTTTGTTGTTTGTTCCTTTCTCGCTTGTGCTGCTCTCATGGATCACTCTTAATGTTGTCGTGTCGCTTGGCGTGTGTGTCATTGTGCCTGCGAAGCTGCGCTTGTGGTTCTTTGGTCATGGCCTCGTTTTCGGGTGATGCTTGGGGCGCCTTGAGGGTGTGCCGACTAGAACTATCGGCACTGCTGCGCTGGGTTCGTCACTTCACGCAGTGCAACTGTGACTTCCTCCCGGTGAGGAGCTTCAATCTCAGATGCTGCGGGGGACAGTCTAAAGGCTAGGGACAAGACTGTCTGTGCAAAGGGCAAACGGCTCGGGAAAATTCGGGGAATTCTGCGCAGACTCCGATGACGGTTGAATGACTTGCAATCGCTTGCACCTGAAGGGCATGCTGGGGGGGGTCTGGGGGGGTCCTGGGGGGTGGGGCCCGGGGGGGGGGTGGGACCTGCTCGGCTCCCACTCCAATAAATTTCTGATGCCTTTTTGTGGTGCTGGTGGGGGTGGGGGGGGGGGAAGCGCACAAAATCTTCAGTGGAGAAGAAGCATATACAAGCATGATCTCAATGAATGCTCGTTGCGGAGCAGTATATCTCCCGCAGGCCTGTCCCGAGACTCCAGAGAGCAGCCGAGCGAGGTTTATTCTTTCTGGCTAAGCCGCTAAGCCCCATTAAGCTTCGAAACGCCGAACAATCTTTCCGAAAGCCGCAGCAAAGCTCATGTTGCCCTGCTGAGGCCGCCGCCAGCGCTGCCAATGCCGCCACGGCGGCTGCCGCTGAGGCGGAGGCAGTCAGAGCTTTGCACTGATACGCAAGCCTTCGGCACTTAGAAGCACGGCTTGGTTCTTGCTGGCTTGGCTCTTCGAACGGAGGGTGTTGTCTCTAAGAAGTTTCCTTACGAAGGAGGGTGCTGCAACAGCTTGCTGGCACGGGCTGCAATTTCTGTTGGGTATATATGAAATATTGAGCCCTCGGTTCCCTGAAATCACTAGAATACGAAGACTGTGAGGAGCTTGTCGTAAAGAAAGCGCCGTTCTGCATTCTCAATGCCCGAGTATGAGTTGTCCCAACGCACCTTGAGTGGATGCTGGAGCCAGCATTGGTGTTTCCTAGAGTTTGGAGTGTAACTATTTGTTTTATGTATGGCCTCCAAGGCTGACGTAGGTTTCTTTCAGTTTGAGCGGTCCGGCACTCGGAGGTCTGACACTGCTTAGGATTTTCGGAGGGGGTTGATTTCTTGCCTTGCAGTCAGCATGTGGCGCCGTGCAAGGAATTCGCAGCCATCGCCAAGGCCAAAAAGGCCGAAGCCGACAAGGTGGGTTTCTGAAAGGGTCTTCTGCACGTTGGGTCCTACTCATTGACGATCCTCTCTTTCTTTTGAACCCCACAACGAGGGATTCCCTGTCTTCAGATATTTCGCTCTTCAGATGCAAGCAACTAGCCGAGAGAGAGAGAGAGAGAGAGAGCCCGGGGGCTCAAACCTAGCCCTGGCGAAAGAAAAGAGAGCCCGAGGCATTGTTTCGGAGATCGCGGCTCGGAGCAAGGATCCTCTGCATCCCATTCCCCCTGCCGCTCAGGCGGAGAAGCACTCCGCATCCAAGGCTACCAAGGCCTGGGTTTTGCTGACTTAGCGTCTTTTGCGCGGTTTTGGCCTTTGGGTCTGGGGGGGTTTAATGTGTCTGGGCTTTCTGGGCGCGTGATTTCAGGGTCTTGGGCGGCTGTCGTTCGCGCCAGGCAAAGGAGCTGGAGGACAAAGCTAAGGCGGTGGCCTCGATGTCTTTCGCAAGTTCTTCTGTCCTTGCTCTGGATCTGGACGGGGGAGATTGGGTTCCAGTTGCAGGTTAGCCTCGATTCGTTGCTGCCCTGCACTTGCATACTTCACCTTCCAGCCCCAAACTGTCCTAAAGACTGCGAGATGCATTCTATATCCTGGCACCCGAAGACGGCTGAAGCCAAGGCAAAAGAGGAAGAGGCCAAGAAGGCCGCTAAGGAGGCCGGTCCCCGCGCAAAAAGGTGACGGCGAGTAAAAGCTGTCAAGATGATGACCAGACGAACATGTGATTGAACCTGCTGATTCCGGTGTGTGTCGGTGACGGTGATGATGACGATGATGCTGACGGTGAGCATGATCACCTATGACTCTGTAACGACAGATTCTTGCAAGTCCCTCGATGTCCGCAAATTACCAGATCTCGTAGACCCTTCCCAAGGGCCAGGCTCCGCGAAGGCCCGTTTCGGCCCCCCAAGCCCCACCCTCGAACTTTGAAGGCCGCCATATTGAAAATCGGGGCATGAGGAAAGCCCCTAAAAGCCGTCGAAAGCCTCCGAACGGAGGCTGCAGATGCCCGAGAAGAGGCCAAAAAGGCCCGCGATGATGCAGAGGCTCGAGTTCTTCGACCTGGTCGATCATAGCAACGATGGTGTTCGGAGAGCTAGGTTTGCAGTTGAGGATTTTGGTTCCAGGTTTCCGCTCCAAGTTCTTGCCGATGTATGTCTTTCTTCTTGGCTGAGGCTCCTCTAAGCAAACCCTGAACCTTAAAGCCGTAAACCTCAGGTGAAGGAGTCGTTCTACCAGGAGGCGGCTTCGGATCACCGGAACAAAATCGCGGCAGCCGAGAAGGTCACACTTCAGGGTGGGTTTTGTCGGCATCTCGGTTTCCGGGGTTGGAGTTTCCGGCTCACAGTGCGCATGCAAAGCCGTGGACACCGGGTCCCCGATGATGCGAATATTCATTAGACAGAGAATGATCAAGGCCTGGCCGGTCCTCAAACCAGATAGATCCCCTCATTCCGGCCATTAACTAGAATTCGAAAGCTCCTCATTGCAACATGGAGCCATGTGACGGACCATTGAGCTTGAGTTGAGCCCAGGCGGCTACAGTATCCACCAAAATCTTCCAGAAAGCCCATCAGAGGATTCGATCAGATATTTCCTCCCCCTTGCAGGCCAAGGCCTCGGCGGCTTCCGCCCAGGAGGCTCCGGCGACTAGTATGAAAGCTGTTGTTATTGTCGTGATGGCAGGCTTGATGATGGTTGTTATTGTTTTTTTTTTTATCCTTCTGTTATCAATATCAAGATTATTACTGGTATTACTCATTACTCATTAGTTGGCATTCGTATCGCAGTTTGTTTAGTTGGCCGTTTCTGATTTTTAGTTTAGGGGATCGTTCAGAGAGTTCGTAGTGTAAGCAGCTCCTAACATGCTGCTTATGAGGGTCCAGCTGCCGTTGGCTCAGGTTATGCGATAAGGAATGAGGGGTTTCGGACGCGTTTCGGACGCGTCTTCCTAGCGTCCTTGACGGATTTACAGCGGGCGTGGTCTATCCGGTTCGTGTCTGCTGTGTTAAGTTTAGTAAACCCCGCAGGGTTGTAAAGTTTTAAGTTTCTAGGATCCGCGGCGAAGGGTTCTGGTCCTTGGGAGATCCGAGGTTCACAGGCTCCAGTACAAACATGGCGGAAAGTTCGATTATTCATGTGAGAGTGGCCCTGTCCCGGTAGATGAGGGTATCAAGTCATAGATGTTCTAAACCCTGAACTAAAGGATGCTCGCAACAAAGGATTCCCCTAATTCAGAAGCAAACAGATGAAGTTCTTATGACTTCGCAGGCCCTTAGCAGCTTCGAAGCGCAGCACCCGGTCAAGCCGGCGGAGGCTCTGGTGGAGGATAAGGTTCAGGAGATTTAGGGTTTTGGGCTCCAGCGAAGTAGGCTTTCAGAGTTGAGGGCTTGGAGATGATGCGTAGGATGTTTGTTCTTCGGGGCTTGGGTATTTGGCAAACTAACTATCATGTTTTGGGGGCGCTTATGTGGGTGTCTAGGTTTCTTCAGGTTCTGACCAATTTGTTGGGTCTTACTTTGTACGTTGTAAGATCTTGAGATCGAGGTGTTAAGATGCTAGTAGCACTTAGTGTTGCGGGTTTCTTGTTTTCGCAGGCGACAGTGAGGCTTTCAACGTTGAAGGTTCTCACTTCAGAAGATGATTCATGGTGGCATCGAGGACCGTTGCGGGTTACTTTTGGCGAGAGGCGCTGGGTGTTCCTTCCTTACTGTTGGTGAGGCACTGCGGCGTATTCTCATACAAAAAGGGAGTTGTGGGTCTTCCGAAACGTGTCAAACATCTGAACCGCGAGCCCTACACCCTGTCTTCTTTTATCCTTCAGCCCTTTCATGTGGATCGTGCCCTAAACCCGGGCTTCTCCAGAGCATCATTCGGCTTGTGCCAGGCCCCTGCAGAAGAGAAAAAGAGGCACCCGGCACCAGCGATACAGTACTGATCTCTCTTCCAAATGAACCTATGCCTTCGTCCTTCGACTTCATCTCGGCCTGCGGTTTCAGCTGATTGTCTCCCCTGCACATGATTCTGCGACTCGCAGCTGCTCCACTTTCGAGCTCGGAAAGTTCACGCATTGACTGTTCAGCCAGACATGACTTTCAGACAGTGACAGAATCCTTGTGCCCACGGCTGTAAACTAGTTTAGCCGAGAGTGTCACACGCTGTCGGTTCCCGAGAGTAGTTTCGAGAGCCGCGATCGGACCATTGTGACTTGGATCTTGGCATGACGTTCGCTGCCAGAACGGAGTACCCTGGTTCTGTGCGAAAATCACGTATGTCGCGGAATTCAAAGAAGACCTAACACCTGCCTATGCTGGACATGCACAAGATGTTGCGACCACTGTGTTTGCATTCCGGGGCGTGACGGGCTTGTTGATAGGTTCAGGGTTTCTGATCTGTATATGGTGTTAATGGCAGGAAAAAGGAGGAGGCGGAGGAGAAGCCTAAGGAGGAGGCAAAGCCAGAGAAGAAGGCTCGCTCTCTGACTTACACCGTACCTGAAGTCGAAACTGAATCTTATTGGTAGGGGTGAACGATTGGACAGGGATCGGGCTTTGGGTTTCGAGGGTTTTGGGGGTTTAGGCTTTCTTTTGTTTGTTCAGCTGGCTAGCTTCCGAGTTGCGCTTGCAGAAACCGTACCTTGGAAGTTCGGAGCTCTCCAGTCGGCGAGATACCATGTGATCTCAGGAGAAGAAGTCGAAGGAGGATGCCGAAGATGGCGAGAAAAAGGCCGGTGCTAGACCCGCGGCCCTGGACAGCACACTTGCATAAAGCCTACAAAGGCTGGTCCCCATACTCTGCACCCCCGTAAATTTGACATCGCTTCGTTGTGATCCGAAGCGCAGACCCGGGGGTCCTCGAGGACCGAAGCAGAACCCTCAGGATCATAAGCTTTGAACGCTAGTTGCTTCTGCCAGGTAAGGACCCCGAGCCCAAACGATACTTTCCCTTGCTCCTATACTACCGTATTCCTCCGCCAGCGCCGGGGTTGTGAAAGATTTGGAGACCCGGAGGCTGCCTGGGTGCAGGACCCCGGAGCCTCTTTAGACCAGAGCAGCCCCAAGGACGGAGACGGTATCGTCCGTAGCTCAGGTGTGAGGCTTCAGATTGAAATTTGGACTCACTTCAGAGGTCCGAGGTTGTTAAACTCATGTGGGTTCTTAGTCATCAGTGCAGGTTCAAGGCCCTTCTTCTTCGGCCTGAGTCTTCTTGAGCTCTAGCAGATTTTCTCAAATTTGGAATCGGATCCAACCCTGAGCATCTGCACGGCAAGGGCAAGGCGGAGTCAAGCAAGGACAAAGAGGCAGGATAGAGAGTTTTGCCTCACTTAGTAGTGGTGTAGTTAATCTTCTTCTGCAGTTAGGTTTGCATAACATCTGATACTAGCTGATTTGGGATTCAGATCTGAGGGTCTTGGAGTCGGGGCTTGTAAGGGGATGAGAGTTCAGGGATGGGTCTGGAGATGAGATCTAGGTTTGATGTTAGGTCGTATCAGTGCCATATAGCTTGGCAATTGGGTCGGCGGTTTCAGGTCAGCACACGCTGTGCTGTTCGTATAAGAAGGGCTGGAGATCCACCCTTTTTCCAAGTGAGCATGTCGTACCCAGAGGCCTTCTTCAATGTCAGCCCCCCGGTTTTTCAGTGCTGACGGTCCCGCTATGAGGTGAGCATGAATGATGAAAGCTTTCAAGGCACCTATCACGAGGAGTTCCTGGTACTGTCAAGAGAGCAAAACCTAGGTCTATCCCGTGTGCTGAGGGGGGTTCAAGCTAGACTGAACCGCAAGTTGATGGTAAACCACGACGCCCTAAAGCCGCAAGCCCGCGAGACCACCTGTTCAGAAACTCGTTGCACCACTTGCCCTGACCTGGGCAGAATGTGCCCCACGCCCTCTTGTCGAGATTGGTCGCGTATCCTCGGGAATGCAGGGTTCCGATGACGACTGTGTTGCACAACTCCATCACTGCTGCATCCATCATCCTTAATGTTGAAGATCAGGGTTGAAGGGTGTCAGAAGGCCCCCCTTCCAGCTCTCGTTCGCCATCTTTCAAAGCCGCCACAGAATGCACACACTTAGTTCCATGCCAAACCCGGGACCTGCAGAGCCCGAAGCATAACATCTCGAACTCCGATCTTGATGTTGCCCTCCGAGTCCCCTCCCCCCGGTAGGAGAAGCCGAAGAAAGCCATCCTCACCCCTGCATCTGCCGTCTCTGATGAAAAGAAGGAGTTGTTCTTCAAGTCTGTGTTTTCAGGGGTTCGGGTTCGGGACTTAGGGACCGTGAGCTGCATGGCCGGAACGGTTTCCATGCGTGTGACACTTCGAGTTTTGCTAGTCCTTGTCTGGCACTTTCAGGCTTTCGGCGCAGGATTCATGCTTTGATGATCGTGCTCGTGGGCTAAGGCTTGCACGGCTTCGTTGTGGCCAGCCCTTGAAAATGTAGAATCAAGAAGTTTTGATCCTGGCGCTTCATTGTCCTTTGCTTTCGATTCTGTGGCAAACCTGAGTCCAGTTCTTCAACACTGCAGAACATCAGGATTTCAGGCACTCTTGCTTTTGGCGACTACCGTTGGCTAGGACGATGATGACGAGGAGGGCAGCGCTGAGACGGACAAGGTGGGAGGAGGGTGACGGTCGACAGTCGACTTCACGGCATTAGTGCTCGTCATGGCAGATGAGAACTGGGCTGCCGTCATTGCGACCTAGCTTGATTTTCAGAGTAGGGAGGTGCTGAGCACGAGACCAGCAGCCCCATGGATTCCCTTTGTCATTGTGCTCCCTACGTCGCTTCGGGTTTGAGACTGAAGGTTTCCTTCTGGGGGTGGAGTTTAGATCGTCAAGCTTCAGGTTCGGTCAGCTGCTGTGACGCTTGCTCTTTCGCAGCTCTTGCGAGGTGGAGGAGGACAGCGAAGAGGAGGAAGAGGACTGCGAACGGTTGGCCTAGGCTGCAGGGTTAAGGACTTGGGACGCCTCAGCGCTTGCTTGAGAGTAGGGCTGTCCTGACCGAAGCTCGGTTACCGGCTTGGGTTGTTCCCCTGCATTTCCGCCCCTCCAGAACCTTCTGTAAACTTCCGACTATGGCCTCGGCCTGCTTTTCAGCATAGGCATTTTGCCACATCTGGCGACCCAAGATTCTTGGGCTTGACAGGGCTAAAGATCTTCAATGTTGGGTTTGCGTAGGCGTGGAAGCCATGGCTGACAGTTGCTTGGCAATTCCAGCCAGCCGGCTCCAACTGCTGACAAACTTAAGTCTCAAGTCTGACAGCCTCAGACCATCGTAGATCTTAGACGAAATTGCGTCTGCCTTAGATGCTAGATTCCCAGTTGGCAGGAAGAGGAGGAGGAGAAGGAGGCAGAGGATGCAAAAGCAGACGAGGAAGACAAGGCACAATCGAAGTTCTTGTCAGATGTTCGGCAAAAATACCTATACACGCATTGTTTGTTGGTAGTTGGATTTCAGAGATCAACTAAAGATTCTGATAGGGTTTCCCGATCATGGCCGTGATGCGACATTATGATGATGATGCTTGTTTCTGTGCGCTACTGCCCTGAATTGCTATGTATATCCTGTACAAGCGTGCAGCGTGCAGGATGCCTTTGTGTGAGCTTTCTGTAATGTTCTTGAAGGTGTTCAGGTACTACCGGAGGTATGCTGCGCTTTCACACCAGGCCTCCGCCGAAGAGAGCCCGACAGAAAAGGAGGGCGAGGCCATCCCGGACCACCTAATACACCTGGTTTAGGCGAGAGTGTTCATCGCCTCGCTTGCTCAATCCCATGAAAGGTGTCAGCTTCTATATGATTCTGGTGTAGTGGATGGCAGAAGTCGAGCAATCCGAAGAGCTCCCTCGGAGCCCGAAGCCCGAAACAGGACGAAGACTCAGATGATGACGATGAGGAGGAGGAGAAGAAGAAGAGTGCGTCGGCAAAGCCGGCCAAAAGTTCCAAGGCGGAAGCAGATGTAGGAGTAATTAATGGCTGGCGCCATGGTCGTAGACTCTAGATCTGAGACCTTTTGATGAACCTATAGGTGACACGGTTTGAGGCAATATGTGGCTTGAGAATTTTGTTCTCGAAACCGCGGTCCTGGCACGGCGTACGACTTGCACATTAGTTTCCGGCAGCCTCCGATGTCAACGGCTTCGGTTTTCCGAGGTGCCCCAAAAGAGGTGTAGCACACGCGTATGAGTAGGCACAAGCGCCACTGATCGGCCGGATAGCATCTCGGCCCGATCGCGTTTTCGTTTTCCCCTCGTCCTTTCGCCTCGCCTCGATCTGGTCATGTCGACTGGTTCCAGCGCCTCCGCCATCGCCGCCGCCAAGGCTGCGGCTGAAGCCCAGGCCGCTGCCGATTCTTGGAGTAAGATTCAAATTGTCTGCCAATGAGGAATGATGAACCTTACTTCAGGAGTAAGGTTCAAATTGTTTGCCAATAGGACGGATGAACCTTACTCTAAGAGTAAGGTGGAAAAATTTTCTTTTTCAAGGAGCTCATAAAAGTGAAAAGAGTGTTGTGGAGCTGTATCTTCCCTTACCCCGGGGTATTAGGTGAGCACTAAAATAGGAGCCCTTATAGGGATTGGCTGGTCTTGGCAGCAGGGGGGCAGGGTTGCGTGGGAGAAATTAGACGCGGCACTCGCGTGGGAAAGCCTCCGCAGAACGCAAATCCCAGGACCTCGGTAAACCCCTTCATAAGCCCTAAACCTGTTGAAAAGCTCAAAACACCCGTTCAAAAGCTAAACCCTTGTTGGGATTCGGCGATTGCCTCTTCGACTCGTTGATCACGGCAGCAGACGATGCTGGCTGGTCCCTGGAGGGGGTCCAGAATGCCAGGAACCTGGTTGCTCGGGAGGTCCAAAAACATGCCGGGAAGTATTTGCCTTTCCTTGCGGACGGTCAAATTGAACTCGAGCGCTGGGTCGAGTGCATCAAGGAGCCTTTGGTGTGGGGGGACGATTTCGCCGTTCAAGCCTTCGTGAAAGCAGCGGGGTTCGGTACCTAGGCTTATGAACCTATCGTTATGTTTTGGCTATCTTCATGAACCTTACTCTTCCATAGTTGATGTATCTATGCTTCTGAACCTGACTCTTCGTTACGTGTTTTGGATATTGTTTTGCACCTTACTCTTACTCATATGATGTTTTATCTGTGCTTCTGAACCTTACTCTTCGTTCTGTGTTGTGGATTTTGTGTTCCACCTTACTCTTGCTATCTCTTGCTTCTGTGCTATTTTGCTTTGCCACTGTGTTCAGCCTAGGAATATGCGTCTACCAGCTGGGGTTGGGCAACAAGTTGAGAAAACTCCTGAAACACCCGGAGAACGAGCCGAACCCAGAGGTTATCTTGAAGAACTCCTCCCAAAAATTCACTACGACGCGGTCGTGTGCGGGCAAGACGCTGTTGACGAGCCCGAGGTCATCGAGCCTCGCAGGAAGGTGGCGAAAAAGCCGGCTTCCGCCAATGGCGGTGGTTGCATGGGCTACGACCCCTCAGCAGTCGCCAGGCGAAGCACACGGGAAGAAGTTTTACTCCCTGAAGAAGGAACTGGGCCCAGAGTAAGGTTTAAAATAGGGTAAGATAACCGCGGTTTCTAGGGCTTAACGTGCTTCATTTAGCATAGAAATCTTCGCAGGAGGAGCTGATGCCGGGGTTGGCGGAGGAAGTCATGAGTTCCCTGACGAGCACGAGGGCAGCAGCGGGGAAGAGAGCATCCATATGCTCAGAAAGAACAGCTAAGATCCATCTGAAGAACCGCATGCTGCAGCAGGGCCTGTTTAGATTTAGTGTTTAAACCTTAGTTTTGTGTCTTTTGACCGCTAGTTTCGAGCCTCTGCTTAAGCATTTGAACCTTCCTCCTAGCTATTTTCAACCCCCTTCTTAAGCAATTGAACCTTCCTCTCAGCTACGGGTGTTGGTCTAAGGTACATGGGCTGGCTGAAGCACAAGAACTTGAAGCCCGACCCTGAGCAGGACTTTTGAAAGCTAAGTCTTCTAAACCTTTCTCTTCTATGTTCTAGACCATGCTTTTTGTTTTGCACACCTTACTCCTATGAAGGCTTCTATCCGAACCTTAGTCTTGTCGTCTTGTGCTTGGGCACGAGTTTTGGGACCTCGAGGCAGTTATGACCAAAAAGCTACTGGCCAAGTCCTCCCAGCACTTAGAGCAGGACACATCTGATCGTGGATGGCAGTTCAGCCTTGATTATGTCACGTTAACGACAAGGAGTTTCTCAGTCCTGATTCAGCCGTGCCTGAAAATGAGCAATAGAAACTTGAGACGAAGGAATGCCACCCTCCTGGAACAGGTCAAGGCCATGGGGAAAACCCAAAAAAGGCCTGAGCAAGGCCCATCCCTGCCAGACACACCAGCCAACCTGCCCGAACCCCTGAATGTCCTCCACATCCTCGCATCGCTGAAGAATTTCGACCAAAAGATCACGAACCTGGACCACAAAATCAGCAACCTTGACCCCAAAGCCCCACCCAAAAATGCCACCTACCTGCGTTACCGAGCGGCCATGCTCCGGTCTGCGAAGTTGGTTTTCGGATTCATCTTCCAGACTTGTGAGCGCCTGCACGCGGCCCATAACCTGGCTCCTAGGCATCATGAAATTTCTTTTCTTCAGCACTTGAACCTTCCCCTTAGCTATTTGAACCCGCTACTAAAGCATATAAGCCTTAGGCTTACTCTTAGCTAATTTGAACCCTCTTCGCAAGCATGGGAACCTTACTCTTAGCTAGTATGAAACCTCTACTCAAGCACTTGAACCTTCCTCTCAGCAAACTTAAACCCTCTTCTTAAGCATTTAAACCTTACTCTTAGCTAAGATCGACCCTCTACTTAAGCATTTCAACCTTTCTTTTAGCTAAGGCCTTGAATCGTATTTCCGTGCTCGACACGGAGAAAGACTCTTACTTCTTCATTCCAGCTGGCCAAAATCCGACAAAGACGGAGAGAAGTAAGCGCATGTCGCCCAATTACTTCGTGGCGAGAAAGTATCTCAACGGCACCTGGTCCCAGGAGCTGGACGCCCTCATGGCCAACCGTTTCAGCCACTTGCAATCCCTCAGGCCTTTTGAATACATGCCCTTCCATCTCATTGAGTACGACGTCTTCAGGAAGCTGGTGGGAAAGGCCTGCCTAGAGTAGGGTTCGAAACAGTAAGTTGGAGTAAGATATACTGAATCACTGAATAAAGTTGGAAATTAAAAGTATAAGGTTTAAACATTGTAAGAGTGGAGCTTAAACACGCTTGACCGGTGCAGGTAGCCAAGCCCACGGTGACCGACATCCGAGGAGCAGTGGAGGCCTTCTACCTAAAGACTAAAGCTTAAACCCTAAAGCTTGAACACGGAACCTTAAAGCCTAACCCTTGAACCCTTCATTGGAGGCTTTCCTCCTCCAGAGCGGCGAGTTTGCGAGAAGGACGGCTGAAGACAATTCGCTGCAAGTGTGGTTGGGGCATGCCAGCTCGGTCAGTGCAAAGGACTACCACAGAGCGACTACGGAAGCCTTGACTTCCAAGCTGCACAAGAAGTAGGACAGTCTGGAACGTTTTCATTTTCCTCGAATATCGAGCCTCCCTGTTTTTTGGGATGTCAAGACAGTGACAGACACCCACGAGCCACAATTAGGGATTAAGGCCCAGGATAACAGCCTCCAAATTGCAACTTGCACGGGGCCAAAAAAGACCGAAGCGATGCAGGAAACTAGTTAAACAAGGACAGTGCACAGTCAGGTTCAAAAGTTGACCGCTTTGGACCTTATATTTGGACAGGGCCAGGCAGAGTAAGGTTCAAAAGTTGACCTAGCAGCAGTGCGCAAGAGGAAGGTTCAGAACGAAGGCACCCTGAAGCAGTAAGGTTAAAAAAGGGGGCGATATTCCACGAATAAGGCTCAAAAAGGCAGAAAAACCATGACCAAAGTCAGGAGGAAGGTGCAGAGCGTTGGAAGCTTATAAACCTTGCCACCTTAGAGGCCGGACAGGTGGCAGAACGGATGGGCTTTGTCTTGCTCCTGGAGGGCCAGGTGTTCTACGGTTTCGGCGTCGTCAAGGCGGAACACGTGAAGCCGTTCTCGTTCAGACGGGCGTTCATCTACGTCCCCGAGATCCTCGCGCAGGTGCTCCCGGTTATCACTTTCGCCCGCCGCCTTCCCCTGCATTGACTGGACTTCATTGAAACGTCGTCGGCCAGTTGGAAATTATGAAAGAAAGTGTGCGCGACCCTGCCGCCAATGGCATCCTGGCGGCCTCCTGGGGTTTGGCGGCTGACCGGGCGTGGTGCCCCGAGTTCTGCAGGGTGCCCTCCGAGACCAGCGTCTGAGGCACCATTTCTCGGGGCGACGATTCCCACGCGGTACGTGAAGGATGGCACCGGGTCCACGCCCCTGTCGACGACGTCATGTGGTGATCTTCGGCAGGGCGGCGACCGACATCGACTACGCCTGCCATGAGGTCCTGAGCTGAGCAACCTTTAGATGTTGCCATTTGGTAGGAGTGCCGTCGCCTTGTGGGAGGTGGGTGCGCCGGACGGGCGCAGAAGTGCGCACCCCGCAATGGCATCGGTTCAGGGGCGGTGTGCTCGGCCGGGTGCAGCTCCGCGCTACGACCAAAAAGGAGCCACCGCACCTTATAGTTGTTGTGTAGCACACGCGTGTGAGTAGGAACAAGCCCCAGCGATCGGCCGACATCATCTCGGCCAGATCGCATTTTCGTTTTCCCACCCTCGCCACCCTGTGTGGTCTTTTGACCTGCCGACTTTAGACGGCCGACAGCGGTCCAAGCGGGCGGTGGCCTCAGGGGTGGGCGCAGAAGTGCGCACCCCGGCACCGACACCGGTTCAGGGGCGGCGTGCTCGGCCGGGCGCAGTTCCGCGCTACAACCAAAAAGGAGCCACCGCACCTTAGTAGAAGTTTTGGCTAACATGTCATAACATGTCGTTAGCGCAGCGCTTGTTTTGCCAACACAGCCGCGACACCGTTGGGTCCAACGAGAGCAGGCGCCCGCCAAAAAGGCAGACGACGAGGATGATGACTCCGACTCCGATCGGGATGTCGAAACTGGTACTGCAAGTGATACATGTCTGTCTCTCTTCAGATTTGTCAATTCGTGCCGGTCATACGTGTCAGTGCCATGTGCTTGTATGATTGATAAGCAGGTAGGTAGGAGCAGGCAGGTAGGCAGGCAGGCATGTGCATGTACATGTGTGTAGATGTAAATATACAGGTTTTTGTGTATGCATGTTCGCATTTGCGCACGTTTGTATGTATGGTTTGCAATGTATGTAGCGTAGTGTAACGCAGGATCATGTAATGTAAAGTAATGCAATGCATGCAGTGCAATGCAATGCAGGGTCACGCAATGGATTGTATTGTGTTGCAATGCAATGCAAAGCAAGGAAATGTAACTAAATCAAATCATGTCATGTAACGTTATGTAACATTATGTAACGTATGTAATGTATGGATGTGTGAAATGTCTGTGCATGTGTTCTGTGCATGTGTACATGTATGCATGTATGGGCTTATGCGTTTATGCATGTATGGATATGCCAATAGGCATATACCTACATCTCTCTTTCTCTCTGTATGTGTGCATGTATGTATATTCTTGTATGCATGTTTGTATGCATGCACGCATGCATGCTTTCATGGATGTATATATGTATGGGTGTATGTATGTACGCATATGCACATGTGCGGGTATGCATGGGTGGTGTCGTGTATGCCCACTGCAAACATGCAAGTATGCAGGCAGGCAATCCGTAGGTTTAAGTTCGCGTAGACATATACTTGCACATGTACATGTATTTGGTTACCTGCCAAGCTAGTCATTCAAATGTGTCCGGTCGAAGCTACATACTTTGACCCTGGAAGTTGTTGTGATAGCTGTGGCTTTTGATGATGTTGTTCTGGATTGTGACGATTTGTCGTCGTACTGATTGTGGTGGTACTCATGGTGGTATTCGTCGTGGCGATAGTGGTAGTGATGGCGCGATTTGTTTTACCAGGAAGTCTGCCACCTATAGAATACCACCACATGTTTCGACCTCCGGGAACACTGCGGAACAGGGTGTTAGAGCAACATACATAATGCCAGGATTTCATAGTCTCGAGTAAGGTCAACTGAAGATCCAGTTCAACTTCAAGAACCGCCATGCTGGTAGCGGTGTTTCCATCCGAGTCGTGCATCTGTAGAGTTTTGCAGCTGCGGTTGGGGCTCGGGTTGAAGCCGACGCAAGGAGCCTTAGACCTTCACACTCCTGCAGACAATCACTGTTTCTGAACAGGGTGCATTGTCCGAAGCTTTAGTCTTTAAGAAAACTCCAAGGATGGGAGTGAGGAGGATGACGATGATGCCAATGACGACGACAACGATGACGATGAGGACTGAAATCTATGCTTAGCTCGTTGGCTGGATTTCAATGGGAACAGAGGTGAATCAGGGACAAAGTTTGGTCTTGAAGATTCCGTTCCCGGGTCTGAGCTTCTTTGGCGAGGTGCGAGGTTTGATTTAGCATTACGGCTTTCCATAAGCCTATGCCACTGAGCCATGAACCCAAATCCAAGCAGCCTTCATAGCAGTTCTGAAGAAGGAGTCGTCGGATTCCGAGTCGGACGAGTCGGAGGCTTTTGCTCCGCTCGGGCTTGGTGGTTGGGACTCGTACTTGGGGATTCTGTCTCAGGTGTCAGGTTCGGGAGCTTCTGTCTGACGAGAGACGGCCCAAAGCTTAAGGGCCAAGTGGACAACCCAAGGCCCCTGCAGCCCAAGCCTGGACCCCAAGCCAACATTCAAGCACGTCTCGCGTCCCTCTCCGCTGCCCCCAGACCTTCCATGCTTCATGGGCCACAGCGCTGTGTGTCATTTGTTGATCCACAACGAAAAGTCGGGAGCTTATGATTTCGGCTGAAGGCCCCGCGGAAGAAAGCAGGAGCTCGCCGCTGAATCGACAGAAATAAGCTTGTCCCATGAACATGAACCTAGAGTCCTGAACCGCAAAGCTTAAGTTTCTGTTCTCCGAATCCGTTCACGAGTGAAGCCGCCAGGCGAAGGCCAAGGGTAAAAAGACCGCGAAAGATTCCCAAAAGGGCAGCTTTGTCTACTGTCAGGCTGTTTTCATGATTGTTAATGTTGGTTTTGATTCGCTCGGTGGTCCTAGCTACATGTTTGTGATTGTCACGGGAAGTCAGTGCTTGCAAAAACATGCTAGACGTTTGCATCGTTGTAATGTGACGACATCTGTACTTCCAGGAGCATCGCAACTTCCCAGTCACTGCAGCCCCAAATACCCCAAGGCCCACATGGTCAAGTCGCACGCTTTGAGAGTCTGGCAAGCTCTGCAGACCAAGGCGACAAAAAGGACAAGAAGGAGAGCAAGAGCTCTAAAAAGAAGGACAAGAAGTCCAAGAAAGAGGCCAGTACTCTGTTGTTGTGGCAGTCCTTCCCCGGAACCAAATTCCTGCACGAGAGGGTACCCCAGCTTTGACGCCCGAAATCTTGCACAAGACGATCCCAGGGCCGCGAGCCTTGTTACCTTGTTCTGTCTGGTCGTGCAGGGGATCCTGAAACCCGGCGCATATCGAAAATATCAGCTTTGAGGTTTGAGAGTCGGGGTCAACCCGGAGCCGGTTCTCTCCAGGTGAAAAAGCCTAGCAAAGACAAGAAGAAAAAGAAGGACGAGAGCGATTCTGACGAGGCAAGGTTGGAGCTTGGAGTTTTGGAGTTTCGGTCTAGGACGAACCCCTGAAGGGTTTGGAGATTTGCGAGTGCGGCAGAGGCTCAGGTACAGTTGCAACTTCTGAGAGGGGTTTAGAGTTGAGGATTTATTTCAGGACTCCAGGGTTTGATCTTCCAAGCGTTTCCTTCGTGCCCTACCTGAGGGCTTAGTAGGCTGAGGGTCCAAGGCTCCAAGGCATACGAATCAGGTTGTGGGCTCAAGGTTTGGGAAGTGCCCTCCCAGGACAGCGAAAGTGACAGCAGTTAGCTGCTGCTTCCTGCGCGACACAGAGCCACGTGCCTCGCGGGCGACGTAGGCGGCATAGGGGTCCAAGCCGATGCCCGATGCCCTTAGCTGGTTAGGTGATTTGGAGAGTACTTCGTGCAGTGCGCCCGTCAGCGTTCTACGCGAGACCCCCTTGCCGCTGCGTAGGCTGTCGGCAGCCGCTCCAATCCGTTTGATGAAAAGAACGTGTCACCCAAAAGCTCCGCTAACACCGGACATGCTTTCCTTGCAGAGGCGCACTTTCTGGTCAGCCCGAGCCCAGGCGACCGAAGCACGCCTCTGAGGGTTTTGCCTCGTCACCTCACGTAGGAGCCGGGCGGGTGAAGCACGAGCAGACAATCCAAACAACTCAACTTGGGAAGTTAAGGACAAGCCCTGCAGGGCCACTTTCAGGTCAAAGCCCGAGGCACAAGACTTAAGGATGCATTTTTGTGTCCAGTTTGTCTTCTAGACCGAGTCAGGCCCTCAATTCCAAAAACCGAGATTCTTCGATTCTGGCTGCGAGACAGAGTCACAGAATGACCAAACTCTGCACTGTCTACACCTT